TCTGTTTATTGTGTGTCAGGACGGGACTGTGATTGTGCATACTGTCCGGCGAGGTCAGTTCCTGCGAACACTGCGGCCTCCCAGTGAAAGCGGTGTGCCTGCCGAAATCTCTGCACTGCAGGTGGGCCTGGAGGGCCACATTGTGGTACAGACCTCACTGGAGAAGCACTCTACCATTAAGGTACAAAAGTGCATACAGCACAAGCAAAAGCAGAAAAACATACTCAAGTTTCTCAGCCTGCTTATGCCAATATTCAAATTCTGCTTATTCCTACAGGACCTGTACTCCATTCATGTTTACTCAGTAAACGGCTGTCTGATGTCCTCCTTCACCATGGAGGAGCAGGTGACTGCTCTCCAGCTGGTGTCTGAATATGTTATCCTGGGCACCATGCAGGGCAGCCTCCACATACAGGATTTATACAGGTAAAGAAAAAGTTTATTCTAATTTTGCCAGTTTTCTGCATTTATAAAAAAAATGCTCAATTTTATGTTAAAAAATTACCTCAGCTCTAAATCCTCTTTGTTTTTAACAGCCTTGATGCGCTGGTAACTCCCCTAGCCTTGAAAGTTCCTGTGAGGAGTGTGTCTGTCACCAAAGAGTACACCCACATCCTAGTGGGGCTTGAAGACGGGAAGCTAATTGTGGTGGGGGCAGGGAAGCCAGAGGAGGTGAGAACAGGGCAAGCAGTGACTGTGAGATGCAGTATGTATGTGTGGAGGGGTGCCAATCATATGCTAAGTTCTGGTTGAAAGCCAAGCTTTTCAGATGATGATTTAGTGTCTTTAGCTGAACATCTCCGCTTTAGCCCTGCGGTGAAGATTAACATGTTTTCCCTCCTCGTCTCAGGTTCGCAATTCACAATTCCCCCGTCGCCTGTGGGGCTCCACACGCCGCATCTCTCAGGTGTCATCAGGTGAAACTGAATACAATCCCAATGAGAACCCTGGCAAATGAGATGAGCAGTGATGGAGCAACTCTGAGAATGCTCCAGGTCACAGATAGCCGCACCACCAAGATGCTTGCCAGACTCATCAAGACCTTCCTTCCTTTACCAGCTGGCAAACTATCCTACTCAGCTACTATACACTGAGCACTTTTTTGTTCTTAAATCACTTGACATTTTATTGTGTATTTCATTTGCAGTTGTAGCCTACTGTTTTTAATGAGCAGCATTCCAAAGAGTGGCCCTGTTTTGTGGATGGAGAAGAGGTTGATGTTAATGGGTGTGAACTGTTTGTTGTTGGACTGTATATACACACTGAGTCATATTTCAGGAAGATGACTCACTCTAAAGCACATTCGACCCCAGACACAAAGAGAATGCTGTGAAGTCCCCAGGCTCCGTGTTTTTGGCTCCTTTATTGTCGGTGGCACAGCTGGAATCCCTGTGCTGCTGAATGTCACAGAGCCATTGTTTGGCAGTGGCACCTCCTAAAAACTCCTGTAAACTTGAAAAACTACAGTAGACGTTGCTTGAGTTTTCCATATTGCAATATTGGTGAATACCACAAGGGGGTTGACTTAGTAACGCAAGACACAGGTGGTAACTAATTACTAGTGACCCAACACTGTTATGATTTATAGCAGTCAACATCAGGACTTGACGATCCTTGCACCAAACGTGCACCACAATACCATCATGTATAAATTTTGCATTCCTTTAGGCTCTAAGCAATGTAAAATTGTTACAACTGAGGCAATACCTGCTTTATTGGTCAAATATGTGAAATATATTCACTGTTTTTGTTGTCATGATTATGGAGGTTGAATGTGATGACAGCTGAGAGGAGAGCCTGCTGTTGCCTTACACACAGTGGAGTAAAGGCCTTTACAAATGCTCATGTACTAGTTTTATTATTACTGTTTGTTACAAGATCATGTCCCTGCTTCATCTGCTCTGAAAAGTGCCTTTTTAGCTTGTGTCTTGGTCTATGTTTAAACACTGAATTCCAGTCACCCGTGTAAGATACCACATCTTTATCCCTGTTGATTGGATTTAAACACACCTTACTGACTCACATGCAGATAAGATGTTGCTAATGAACTGCTGGTAAACTGTTGCCTGCACTGGCATTGAACTGTCTCTGAAGCACCAAAACATCTGAAGACAGCAGCGACTCCAAAACACATGACCAGAAAGTCTGTGAGCAAACTTCAGAGGAATTCACTTCCTGCCAGCTTCTTTTACTGTGGTTGGAGCAATGTAGTTGTTGTGCAGTGTCATGATGGGAGAGAGACAAAAGGAACTGTTTGGGAGAATGCAATATCCATAAAATGGTGCACATGTATAAATTGCATAGTCTTTGTAAGAGATTCTCTTGAATAAACCTAAGTGTGAGCAAGAAGAAAAGAAATGAATCATTGAAATGTTGTTTACTTATTAAGTAAACATTGATTTCCTCACATCTAGGTTCTCTAAAATCATAATTATTCCAGTTCTACGACCATTAGGTGAGATGATGTCTTAAGGTATGTCCGTCTCAGTTTGCTGTCTTGTATATCAGTTTATGTAACACTGCTCTGTTTGGTATAAATGTTATGAATGTGATATTTTTATTAACTATGTAGCAATGCTCAGAGACCTGGGTTTAATTCACAGAGGTCAGAATTGGGTTATTACAGTCACAGTCTTCTATTACAAGTAGGTTTATGTCATGCTGCATATAATTTAATTTGATATTACTTGTTGTCAGAGAGATCCTGCGAAAAGCCGTCACTCTAGGCCAGCACTGCCTTGAATTTGGACTTGATCCATTTCTCTATAACCACTATGATTTAGCCTTTGTATTCTTCTTGGAAGATGTTGAAAATACACTTTCCTGTGTAAAAATCAAGCAGCTTGTGCTCCTTGTCACTTAAACATGACGGTGGGAACTGTGATTATCTGTTTTCTATCTCCACTCCAGCTGTTTGCTTCTGAAGTTGCATTGTTCTCCCTGGAGATGCCTACTGATTATTACTACACACTTATATTCAGGAATCCTCTTATTTTGTAAACTCGCTGTGCACATCCTAAGCATGATCACCCATTATTGAAGAATAAGCTCTGGTTTTTGTGTGTGAACCTGAAAACTGATCTGCTGCCTTAGCGTAGCTCGTCCAGCTCCTCTGCTGTAATCCCAGCTTTGCATGCGTCTGTGACGTTAACCCTGTTAGAGTTGAAAAGGTCACAGTGAGAAACAGCACATTTTACTTGAGAGACTTTGATCTCCTGGTGGGCTGAACATCCTGTCAGCCTGCTCATAAACACCTCCAGGGGTGCAATTCAGTGGGGTGTGCAGGGGGGGAGGTGGGTGATAAAACCTACCTGGAGACTCCCAAGCAAATACAAACCACAGAACAGTGAATAAGGGAGGTAGAGTAGGAGGAGATGAAGAGGGATGCAGTCGCTCTGATGTGGTCTCGTTGACAATGGTGGGAGGGGTCGACACCTCGCTCTTGGTCATTGGCAGTATCTTCCTCTGGTCTCTCCAGACCCAAGGGCAGGCTGAGGGGGGGGTGGAGGTCGTGAAATGCTGCAGTTTTGGTGTTCTTTAAATTGCTCCTGCCAAGAACTGCAACAACCCTCAAACAGGCCTCTGTAAACGACCACAGCCCTCCACCCTCGCCTCCTCCCCCTCTCTGCACCCTTTTTTCTTGGCTTGTAAACGACATCGTCATGTTTTTTATAGCTCCCTTATCATTTCCACTGACCACAGAGGAACTCGGCCTTCAGATAAGGAGTCTGTGCCCATACAAAGAATGAAGATGTGATGGGAACTGTTTATTTGTCTGATCTGTGATAAACATGTCTTTATTTGGTATTTTGATACTGGTACTTTTTCTTAATTTAAAAAAGTACCACTGGTATGCTGTACCTGCTCCCAGCAAAAATCTGTTTGCTTTGTAGTTTGTGCAGACATGATTATGACTATCTTGAAATAAGGCAGAATAAAGAACACTGCTGCACTGGAATAAAACAACAACATTTGATTTTAAAAACATCTTCAAACAAGGTGGTTTGTATAGAAAATGAGTTGAACTAATTCTTTTTGGTAATAAGCACAAACTCCTTTGTAAGGTGAGGATTTTTGGCAAGGCAGGTTTATTTATATATCACATTCTCATACAGAAACACAATAAGTGGTTAACACAATGCACACAATGCAAATAAATAGACTACAGGTGGTGGAAATCTGTTGTGATATACAGTGCCTTGCGAAAGTATTCGGCCCCCTTGAACTTTGCGACCTTTTGCCACATTTCAGGCTTCAAACATAAAGATATAAAACTGTAATTTTTTGTGAAGAATCAACAACAAGTGGGACACAATCATGAAGTAGAACGAAATTTATTGGATATTTCAAACTTTTTTAACAAATAAAAAAACTGAAAAATTGGGCGTGCAAAATTATTCAGCCCCTTTACTTTCAGTGCAGCAAACTCTCTCCAGAAGTTCAGTGAGGATCTCTGAATGATCCAATGTTGACCTAAATGACTAATGATGATAAATAGAATCCACCTGTGTGTAATCAAGTCTCCGTATAAATGCACCTGCACTGTGATAGTCTCAGAGGTCCGTTTAAAGCGCAGAGAGCATCATGAAGAACAAGGAACACACCAGGCAGGTCCGAGATACTGTTGTGGAGAAGTTTAAAGCCGGATTTGGATACAAAAAGATTTCCCAAGCTTTAAACATCCCAAGGAGCACTGTGCAAGCGATAATATTGAAATGGAAGGAGTATCAGACCACTGCAAATCTACCAAGACCTGGCCGTCCCTCTAAACTTTCAGCTCATACAAGGAGAAGACTGATCAGAGATGCAGCCAAGAGGCCCATGATCACTCTGGATGAACTGCAGAGATCTACAGCTGAGGTGGGAGACTCTGTCCATAGGACAACAATCAGTCGTATACTGCACAAATCTGGCCTTTATGGAAGAGTGGCAAGAAGAAAGCCATTTCTTAAAGATATCCATAAAAAGTGTCGTTTAAAGTTTGCCACAAGCCACCTGGGAGACACACCAAACATGTGGAAGAAGGTGCTCTGGTCAGATGAAACCAAAATCGAACTTTTTGGCAACAATGCAAAACGTTATGTTTGGCGTAAAAGCAACACAGCTCATCACCCTGAACACACCATCCCCACTGTCAAACATGGTGGTGGCATCATCATGGTTTGGGCCTGCTTTTCTTCAGCAGGGACCGGGAAGATGGTTAAAATTGATGGGAAGATGGATGGAGCCACATACAGGACCATTCTGGAAGGAAACCTGATGGAGTCTGCAAAAGACCTGAGACTGGGACGGAGCTTTGTCTTCCAACAAGACAATGATCCAAAACATAAGGCAAAATCTACAATGGAATGGTTCAAAACTAAACATATCCAGGTGTTAGAATGGCCAAGTCAAAGTCCAGACCTGAATCCACTCGAGAATCTGTGGAAAGAACTGAAAACTGCTGTTCACAAATGCTCTCCATCCAACCTCACTGAGCTCGAGCTGTTTTGCAAGGAGGAATGGGCAAAATTTAAGTCTCTTGATGTGCAAAACTGATAGAGACATACCCCAAGTGACTTACAGCTGTAATCGCAGCAAAAGGTGGTGCTACAAAGTATTAACTTAAGGGGGCTGAATAATTTTGCACGGCCAATTTTTCAGTTTTTTATTTGTTAAAAAAGTTTGAAATATCCAATAAATTTCGTTCCACTTCATGATTGTGTCCCACTTGTTGTTGATTCTTCACAAAAAATTACAGTTTTATATCTTTATGTTTGAAGCCTGAAATGTGGCAAAAGGTCGCAAAGTTCAAGGGGGCCGAATACTTTCGCAAGGCACTGTAGTTGAAAATATAACCCAACAGAAATATGTATGTATTTGAATATATGGTTGGGATAATTTTGTAATTTAAAAACACAATTCTAAAATTAGACCTATAAAACCATTTGTATCATATTTGATACGTGAGGTTTCAGAGCAAAAAAAAAATCACCAAAAATGCCCCATGTATCAAATGTGATACAAAAGAAATAGAAATAATCTAAATAATATGGCACCTTTATTCCTATATGCCTGGACTGTCTGTCTATGCTTATATGGCAAATAAAAATCGTGAATCTTGAATTTCGAATCATGAAATTGTTAGGTATTTTTAGTCAGATAGATATTGGATAGATACTTGATGTACTGGAAAAGTTTAGTGGAGATAGGATGTCTAGTTAGACTGTTAAATGCTTAGTCATGCTTATGAGTTTCTACAGGGTACATCTGGTCAAGGATAACTAGAGAGAAAAGTTAATAAACATCTCAGTTCCAAAAAATTAGAATGTTCTGGCTATTTTTTGATATGTTGGGCTTTACAGGGTTAGACCTATTCCTGCAGCGACACACCTGAGGTCTGAGCATCTAATGGTCTAAGAACTACTCAGAGCTTTTATGTAAGTAAAGGCAGGAATACCTCAGTGAGGAAATACTGCATGCCCAATTTATTTAAGTAGGCTACAAATGTATTAGCATCACATTAAAGTACCCAAAGTAAAAGACTGGTTAGGCAGAATGGGCCATTTCAGAATAATTGATATTACTGTGTTATCAGAATTTGAATCTGCAAAGTAACTTAACTAAAGCTTTAAAAATAAATGTAGTGGAGCAAAAATATACAATATTTATCAATATAAATTCCCATAAAATGGAAAGTACTGCCATGTCAAAACTGTAGGCTATTTAAGAACTGTCCCTGAGTAAATACTTTTCTCCACAACCAGCAACCACTGTGCCAGATGACTCGACCCAGGTGAAGTATTAACTGTCCTATATGTTTGGTTGTTTTCATCTATAACAATGCAACATATTTTATAGGCTTGTTATGTGTCTTAAAAGTCTCATTTAAATGTATCTTACAGGTAGTGGAGTAAAGGAGAAGTGTAATATTCTCCTCTGAACTGTAGTGAAGTACAAGTATAAAAAGTATCAAATGGAATTAGTAATAGAATGAAAGTGGATTGATGATTCTTCTTTCTTGGTTCACATTGGATGCAACACATATGAAGGCCGGACAGACCTCTATATTAATATTATTAATATTATTCTCTATATTAAGACAGGATGTTAAATATATTCCTGTTGTAGGGCTTATGAAACAGAGACATGGGCACATCCAAACTGACCTGAACCTGAACTTAGGTAGAGATAATTGCATGGATACAAGTATCACTGATCATAACAAATCAAATCACTCAAAGTGCTAAATAATTAAATATATACCCGAGTTTTTAGTGTTTTTAAAATCTTTTTAAAATCATACTTGTTGTATCCAGTGCGAGGGTACATGTGATCGTGCACACATATCACCAATGTGGAAGCTCATTTTGATTTTTCCATTACATTATTGTTCCTAATCCAGCGTCGCAGGGATGCGGCCAGTCGCATTGAAAACTGAGTAGATGGGAGGAGAAAATACCCAGGAGAGCTTGCCAGAGCTTTTCCTTCCTCATGTGTGCGAAGCTGCAGGAGAGGAGGCAGCGCATGCATCCTGCGAGCTGAAACAGAAGAAACTTTGTGTTAACTTTCGCAGTATCGCCAGGGAACGCAATGAAACAAGCAAATGCGTGTCCTGCGCCATTACTGGGAGAACCTACGGATTATACAGCCTGAATTTTAAACCCGCTTTCTCATGCGTAAAAACATCCGATTACCGAAGAAGGAGCGAACTCTTCTGACTGCCTAACTTGAATATTTGATGGGAAGTTGGTGTTTTTTGGTTAGATTTAGATAGCTGGCAGTTTGGATGACACTTCCTGAGCGATTTTTGAGGACTGCAGATTGCAAAAGGTTTTAAAACGCATCGGTCAGTCCGCTCGAAGTCGGAGGATTTTGGAGAGTGGAGACATGACACTGTTTGTCTTGTGCGCGCTCCTGTTGTTAAAAGTAAGGAACAATTAATTATTGCTTTACTAGCACAATGATACATACTCCATAAACTCAAAAACCATTATAATCTGCCGGTTTCTTATTTCGCACTCTTATCAGCCTAACACCATAACAGCTGTTGTAAAGGATCACTTAAGTTTTACACTACTATTCTCATAGAAAATGTTGTTTTAGTTATTCGATCTGGGCAATGTTACATGGCCATTGCTGGTAAATGTTTTTGTCTGCGTGTAGTTGGCAAATAACATGAGAAAGAGACAGAGGACACATCTGGTCAAACCTCATCCGGTCTTCCTTTAAAGCCTCTGGTGACTAAACAAGGATGAAATCAAACTTTGCCATGCTACTGTTTCTTTCTCAAAGACACATCCTGCTACTGTACATCTACACAGGCTGCTGTACACCTCAGAGATCACAAAACGTGCTAGAAGAGGTCCTAGAAGATATCTTATGGAGAGATTCTTTGCGCCTTGTACCCAGCTCAAAGTGAAAAGTCGCTTTTCTTTTTCCACTCACATGACACATTTCCATCTGCACTCGCAGCAGCAGCAGCTAGGATGAGCCAGACCACTGGGAACAGCAGACAAGAACAAAACACAGCACACATTTACCCATGATTATGCACCAACACACTGATAAATGATGCATTTTATGGACAAATTGTAGTTTCCCAGGTGTTTGACAGCATTTTATTAAGCCGGGATTGGTGTGAAAAGAAAACAATTGCGGACAATAACATGACATCCACCTACCTCAAAAAGCCCAAGGGGCTTGTAGAACTGTCTGAACACGCTCCTTAGATTGAAAGCACTTTTGTAAGATCAAAGTGTTTAGCTAGAACTTCACTTCTTAAAAAAAGATCTGTATCTCTCTCCTATTATAATGGTGTAATATAAACAGGATGTCTCTTTGAAAGCTAAGATTTCCATCTGTTTTGCAAACACAGATGGTTAATATATGTTTATTTAGCCTGCTGGGAAGTCACACTATAAAGTCTTTACACAGAGAATGATTTTGTGCAGCATTTTACAGTATTTGAGCTGACTCTCCAAACCATCTACTGCTAACTCAGTTTCTAAAGCTTACATTGCTCGTTGATTACTATACTGTTGCCACAGTTGTTACTTAAGACAAGCAATTCCTGGTGAAAATCTGACCAAATGTTCAGTATCGTTGCCAGGGTCTGGATATCCGGAGCAAAGCAATTACCATCATTTTCTCCCAGTTTGTAGTGTATGTGTGTGTGAGTGGCAGTGGTGGTGCTGGGGTTGTTTAGTTTGTTACCGCAGATGTTTGAATTTCCATAGAGTATAGAGTAATCAAGTAGATTTGTTGAGGGGCAGACTTTAATGTTATTTAGAAATGTGAACCAATTCTTGCAAATCAGTAGTTAAGGGAGCCACTTTGTGCTGTCATGTGTTACTTAGGATTGCAGTGTTGCGTGTGATTTCTGCCTGCAAAAAGAGGGACGTGTTTTAATTTGTCGCTTGTGCTCTCAGTATACAAATGACAGTAATTGGTGCAGATGGGATGTGTGGCTAAACAACTTTCCTCAGCTCAGGCTGTCTGTGCTGAAAGGCCCATGTCTGCTGCGATCACAGCCACATTTGTGAAGGCTTATGTCAGTGTCTTTGCAGCGAGAGAGAGAGAGCATCACTTGGTGTGTTTATTTTCACGCAGATTAGATTAAGAGTGGAAGCTCCAGCCTAGGCTCTTCAAAAGTGGCCTCACTTCACAATGGCACAGAAAATGTTTCAGGCACTGGGAAGGCTGAAATGAAGTGTGGGTGTGTGTGAGTGCGTGAGATCCGTGATGAGTGAGTGACTCTGGCAGCCGTGGAGTTGAGAACCCCATTGAAAACTGTGCTCCTCGGTGGTCCGTCTGTTCTCACTGGGGAATCCCTTCAGATTGCAGCTTCTTACCTAAATGGAGAAAGCAACTGTAGCCCCCTTCCCCTCAGACCTTCTGCCCCCGGGGCAACAGATAGGACTGAATACTCTTTGACACATGAGCAGCAAAATAATCTTTACTTGAAAATTGGACATAGAACCAAAGTAATGATACTGCAGGAAGACCGACAAATCTAAGAAAGTAAACATTTGACAGCCATCTATTCATATTCAGATCAAATCAGAGGTAAATAAATGGTAAAGTGGTAAAGTATGCTAATTTAGGTGCCACCCAAGTAAACTAAATACAATCAAATTAGTTGATTTTGGCATCTGATGTCCCAACACTGAAGAACAGTTGAACCCAGGTCAGATCTTTCCTTGATACTCTTGCAAATCTGTGGACACACTTTTAGCCACCTATCTTAAAACTATACCCTGGAGTTGTTTCTGTGTATTCTTTGCTTTCTAATGTGGAATAGTTTTTCTGTATTTGCCACTAAGAATGGTGATGGAGCATAGTGTTGACATTTTTTAGCCTCTCCATAGGAGACTTCATTGACCTGTTTCTTTTTCTTTATTGGGGGGCGCAGTGGCTATTTGTCCAGATTAAAAATCAACTTGAACTAAACTTAGAATCAAAATGCCACTCATGTACTGTTGGGATATTAACGTTTATTCATCCATTGCAAGCAGGCAAACAAAAGAACAGAGTGAATAACACTAATGATCCAACACATAGCTCGTACAGCTCGAATGGGATACGTTGTGCAGACATGTACAATCTGCCTTATGTTAATGATATGTTACAAAGAAAAGGGAGGGCAAAGAAAATGTCTGAATGTTTGATCAGAGAACTAAGACCATTAAACTGATGTATTCATTATATTTCACAGTTAAACACAGAACTGACTGTGACTCTGCTTGTGCTGTCATCTTGACCAGGACTCTCTGGAAGTAGAGATCTTGTTTCTCAATGGGACCTTCCTGGCTAAATGCACTAGCATTGTTGGGTTTTTGTAAGAAATGAAAATAAAGGGCTATGTCATGCTGTTTTTTATTATTGAGTTTTAACTAATCAGTTCTTAATTTCATTACAGTATAAACTCTAATGACTAAGGACCGGATATTAAATTATATATCAATAAACACGGAATGCAACCATATATAGTACTGTTTCAATGTACACAGTAGATAATGATTTAGTCATTCCTCCACTGAGTAGATCATTGTAACCGCTTGTCTCCAGTGGGGCTCGGGACTAAATATTTCATTGTACATTGTGAACCAGTGGGTGAAGTGCCAAACTTCTGGCTCTCTGCACTAAGTAGGCCCTCCAGGCAGGCTTAGTGAGCTAAACCAGCCCAGACTCACACTGTAAAATGACAGAAATCCAAGCTGGAGGTGAAAATAAAACAGAGCCACTGTCACTAAATATTTATCAAAGTATAGAATAAGGGGTAAAAGGTTAGCTAGTGTTAGCTGAGGAGCTCCATCTGTTATGTGGAGAGGACCAACCTGAGTTACTAGGATGCCTTTCTGCTCCAAAGGTTATTATGGTCCAGGTCTGGTCACAGTCTGCCAACTCCAAACATCCTAGTGGTTCCTGCCTGCAGGATCCTACCACCCCGACACACTAACACTTCTGATCTGGGTTCTCGGGCTGGTGTTCAAATATCATCAGGCTTCTCTGTAAGTGCTGCAGTAAAACTGGGTTAGCGTCTTTGGAATGAGGCAAGCCCAATTTCAAACCTGTTCCTCTTGTAGTATAAGCGTGGAACATTACAGTGTGTGTGCATGTATTTGTGGTGGGCTTTTTGTTGGAGGTTTTGCAGGTTTACACAGGTCGCTTGTGTGTTTTGGCAGACTTCAGAGATGAAGAGAAACATCAGTGGGTTGTTTAGCTGTTACTTTTCCCCTTCGCAGGAGGTTAGTTGTCAGACATCTGTTTGCTCTTGTCAGCCTCCAGACAGAGTAGACCAGTCTCCCTTAATGTGTGCATGTTTAAGATGCCATTGTTCAGAGCCTGGAGAAGGGGAGTTAGTAAAAGACTGACCTTCACAGACACACCACACCTGCAGGGCTTGGCAACTTCAAACCCCCCCCACCCCATCAATATACACACACACACACACACACACACACATAAGCACATGCTGGGCAGCCATGGTTAACTGACACCCTAGCCTGGGGCTGGAACGTTTCCTTTATGTACTTCCCCCGTTCTCCTTTTTATAATGTCAAGAAATGAACACATACACACACACACACATTGTCATTCATACTGATTTGGAATGAGTGCGATGGTGGAAGCTTTTTACGTATTTTTCCCTCCTTTTCAGAGTGTTTTCCTTAAACTATTTATGTCTTATTCTTTCCACTGGTCTAAAGCCATCTGATTAAAGTCAGCCGCTCCTGTCAGGAATCAACCCTGCTGCACAAGCCGTTAGGAATGTCTGAGCTATCCCTCATGTCATAACTCAAGCTGGGCTCTCCATTACTCACGTGCAGATAAAAACTTTAAGGTTGAAAAACGTAGGTAGGCAGAAAGATAAAAAAGGCCATTTTCAGTTCATCCAGTTCCCTGGTTTCTTTAAACATATGGCACAGGAATGGGATGTGTGTAACTTCCCTTCCACATGTGGCATAAAGCAGAAAACTCCATGGACCAAGAAAAATGGGCTTTTTGTTTTCTTTTTGGTAACTAAAATTAGAATATGACTTGTGTTGCTGGTGTGTAAACAGGGCAGATCCAAAATGGCCTAAAATGTTTGATAATATCTGTTTTATGCTTAAAAAACACACATAAAACAATGGTGGAATTTTTTTCATTTGTTCACTGTAGGTATCTCTTGGGGATGCCTGTGCCAGTAACCAGTTCACTGAATCAGGGCAGTGTTGCAGTCTGTGTCCTGCTGGCTTTGGAGCGGAGGTATCATGTGGGAAAGAGGACACCAAGTGCACACCATGTCCAGAGGGTAAGCAATTATAATCTAATTTTACTCCACCAATATAGAATATGTTTTACCTGCCTCATCATAATTTCTGTCATCTATTCGGGAGGCTGGAAGCAGTGATGGAACAGAACAGTGCTCCATCTCATGACTGCCACTGATATTTGTGAGACAATTTAGACTGACACTGATTCTGTAATCTGTTTCCCAGGAAAGTTTTCCCCATCCGAAGGCCTCGGCCCTTGCCTCCCCTGTGCCAGGTGCCCATCCGGTGTCCCCGTGGTGGCTTCTTGCTCTGCCAAACATGACACAAAATGTGAATGTGACAAAGGCTTCTTCTTTTGGAGCATCTCTGGCCTGTGTGCACCTTGCTCCAAATGCAGGCACGGTGAGGGTGTTGTCCGGGAGTGTGGCCCTCAGCATAACACTGAGTGCCAGACCTGTGGCCCAGGAACATTTTCTGAGGAGCATGCTAGTACCAAACCCTGCCAGACCTGCACCCAGTGCGTAGACAGTGAGGTGGAAATCCGAGCCTGTATGCCCAACTCTGACACACTCTGCATGGGTGAGTTGTGAGAGAGTGAGAACATGAAGTTAAGTTTTTTAAAGGATGATAATTTATCAAACAAAAAAAACAACAGCAGCCATAGACCGCGATTGTTGTCAAACACACATAAATGATTTCTGGGGCACTGTTAATTTTGAATCAGTCCTCCACACATTGTCCATCATCTGGAAATAGTCACCAACAAATATACAACTAACTATCAACCAACAGTGCCTGGCTATTCCAGGGAAGTACTTTTATCTTAATGATTCGGGGTTGCATGCTACAGAGTGGGTAGGGAAGTCAGAAGGTGTTGAAAAATCATGCTGGGATTTGCTGACAATAAGAAAAATAGTAAACAGTACCAACCTTATTCTTTAAAGATCTGACACAAGGAAAGGCAGTACTGGTGAAAGATAAAAAGATAAAAGAATGAGGGGGGCAGGGGGTGGGAGGGTCTGTGAGAATACATGTGGTCAACACCTGCATCCATACCTCTTCTGAGCCTGGAAACATGAGCGGTGAAAAAAGAGAGCACTTAAATGCTTTAGTCCAATTGGTATGAGTTTGACAGGTCTTTAGGTTAACTGCCCCCACAGACCTGGAGGCCAAGGGAGGCTGCTGACCCTGACAACTAGTGTGCTTGCTCCCAAATGGTTATACTCGCTCTCCAGGAGTAAGGTCATCTCCACACACTCTGGGTGCATATGTCATGACCCTTTGATACCACATAGGTCAGCACAGTACCTTGTACTGTTTGATCCCAAGATAGGCAAAACCACAGGAGACTGGAAACAGGGGCAATGAAAGGTTTTAAAACTCCAGGGGACCGGGATGACTGAGGCTATCATTACATCAGGCATACAGGCTTCTGTGGAATTACTTCTGGTTCCAATTTATGCAGACTAAATGTGTTTCTGATGTGCAGATGCAATTATACTGTCCCTGACACGTCTCTCTTTCTCAATCCTACTAGACAAGAAACTGGACATTCTCTCTCGTCCCGCTGAGTCTGATGGGCACCGTGATACCCCTCGCTTCCCAGTTGTAGAGGAGGAGACAGAGGAAAAGGAGGCCAGCACTGTCCCTGGAACACCCAAGTTTACCCCACAAGATGAGGGTGGCAATAACAACATTCTGGTTTATGTGTCTGTTCTGGCTGCTGTGGTGCTGGGCCTGCTTTTGTATGTGGCTTATAAATGGTGAGTTCTCACTCGGGATGTGTTGTCGTCCTTAAGTGGATGTAATACTGTTTATAAGATTGGCTTTACTGTGGATAGTTTAATATTGTTTTTCTGTGCTCTTCTCAGCTGGAGATCATGTAAACAGAAGCAGGCTCTCTCTAAGGCCCGTGCAGCTGAGCTGGGAATATCTCCAGAGGGAGAAAAGCTTCAAAGTGACAGTGGCGTTTTTCTGGACTCTCACAGTCTACAGGACAACCAGCCCAGCAAAGGTGCAGCAGACACAGGCTCTAAACTAAATTGAGGTTTCAGAACATATTTTAACAATGTCACTAAAACATATAGACCTTTATTAAAACTGGCCCCACACTACAGTATAATTAGCCTGATTTTGGGCCTGATTTGCCCTTCTCGATAATCGTGGGGGCATTCCCTGATATGAGGCCACTTGGAAGTGATTCTCAGGCCAAATGATTCTGTAGTGTGAGGTGTTGAATGACCTAATGGTTACTGACAGGATCGGAGGGCCCCCGATCTTGTTTGATATTTACAACTTGGAGTCCTGTAGTGTGAGGGCAACAGTGACTGAGTCCTGACCAGACACCCACAGCAGCCAATGACAGTGAGCTGGCCGGGAAGTGTCACAACCGCTCGTAGCATTAGCTTGCACTAGCCTCCTCGTTTCTTCATTTCCAACTCACCTCCAGCTCACGCTGCAAAATGCTGAATGTGGCATTTTTTAAAAAGACCTAATACTACATAGCTTGTTTTAGTAATAATGTACTTACTATTATTAGTGGTGATGATTATTATTGAGACTGTGTCAAGTTGGACTTTGGTCAGTAAAGACAAATGGTGAGTTTTTTTTTTTTTATTGCATTTCCACAGGTACCAAGAGGGACAGCAAGCAGGACAATCGTCTGTACATCAACCTACCCCCCCACAGACAGGAAGAGGTGGAGCGCCTCCTGCAGGAGGGAGGGGGCCAGGGGTGGAGGCAGCTGGGTGCAGCACTGGGCTATGAGCCTGAACAGCTGGACCTGTTTGGGCATGGAGAGGCCCCTGCTCACACACTTCTCTCTAACTGGGCCCAGAAAGAAGGCTCCACTCTGGGACTGCTGTGTTCTGGCTTGGCCCGCATCGAGAGGCCTGATGTGGTGACAGTTCTTAACTGTCCCACGCAGGGTGTGTCTGTGGTCTGACAACTTTTCACTCACATATATGACTCTCACAGACTCAAGTGAAGAACTTTAACAAGGGAGGCACTCTGAAAACAATACCTGTCACAGCTGGAGGCTTATTGCTTTGATGGATACTTATGATTCAGTTTTTTTAAACAACAAAAAACAGTTTCATAACACGTTACCCCAGTTTATGTCACCAGCTGGTTTTACGTAAATCTAGCTGCATGTCCTGCTTAATGGACACTGCAGAAACCTGGTCATATGATTAGTTTAGACCCACAGTGACATGCACCTACACTACAATAAGTACACGTGCAATGTCATTTGCATGCACAAAAATCCTGGATACTGTGAGTTAGTGGCAGGACAGTGTGTTTACACATTTTGCATGAGTGTAATTTTTCTAAACCAACTGTTTACTGATCAGATTTATCCTCTGCCCTGTCAAAAAATATTCCTTCCATGTACTATTGTAAACAAATACATATCGCTTAGATCATGTTTCTAGTCTGGTAACCCTTGTTTTATAAGTTACAACTTCAACAAGCAATTTAGTATTGGGATCCCCCATTTGGGATCATTACCACTTAAAAACAGAAGAAAATTCAAACCCATCTAGGGGTTTACACAGCCAAGTGGGCACATTTCTCCAGTAGAAATCAAAAGTTGAGTCTTAACCATCTCTTTGAAGTTTGCAGTTGCTATTTCCTCTTTTAAAACACTTCAGGAACTACTCACCGGGCTGTTTTTTCTCTGCTGCAGCCACTAAGTACACTGAGGACGTACTATGCACCAGTGATATTTCAAATCTCATCAGAAGATATGAAAATGAAACATTTTGTGGAACATAAAAACTTCTTTCTTAGCTCTTTATAATAATCGTCTCTGTTTGTAAATACATTAAATATTGGTTTGTTTTGATAAATCTTGGTTTAAAGCATGAACTATGAAGACTGAAGGGATAGAAATGAATCATTTCATTTTTGTCAACATGATTTTTCATATTAGACACATCGATGCTTGTGTCCAACTTGTCATCTTGCTTTTATATTTATTTCATTATTGTTTCATGTCTAAATAAAATCTATGAGAACCATAGACATCTGCAGTAACTTTGCATGTGATGGCCTCAGATGATTTGATTATTTTTTGACACCAGCCATGTATGTATGTATGGTTTTGTGTATATATTACCTAATGATATGCCTCAGTGTGTTTTTGTAAGAGCTTTATTCATTTAATAAATAACTTTGATAAATGAGCGATCTATTATTGTAACATAAGGACTCCAAATTAGTATTATAAGTCTAGCATCATACCGTAGATGGTCACTATATTTTTTACAACTGCACATCTGCAGTTGCTTAGAGATGCGAGATGCCTGATTGTGGAGTAACAGTATATACATAACAAGTGAAGAACTTAAAACGATGGCTAATTAGTTGAAATATCTAAAAGTACTATATAGTTAACAATGGTTAAAAGTTTGAACAGCTTTTGATTAATTAACCTTTAAAATGATTAGCTTAATCTAATGGGTGGTTAATGAGCTAACATTAATGGATAAGATAATATTATATTTAAGATAATGGATAAACAGTTTGTTACTTTAATGGATAAATGCTGAAATAATTAAAAATAACAGATAAACATTGTCAAAGAGACCAGAAGAACAGGCGTTAATGTGAAATTCAAAAGGCCTGAGATACATAAACTCAGAGGGAAAGGTCCCTAAGGAAGAGTCCTCACTGGCTCCATCTGGCTTAGCTTGATTTACAATGATCTAATGCGGGATGTCCATTTTGGGTAAAGTCGAAACTGTTGATTAAGCATTACCTAATGTAGGGAGAGTAAACAGAATAAAAGCCCTCTTAGCAAGTCAGGCATGCGCTCATCAACTGCCTGACTATATCACTCTGAATCACGATCTTCATTTTCAGAAGGAAAGCTGCTGGCACCACAGCCCCCCCACAGAGCATTTTGACTGAAGGAGCCTCACCTGCAGGCCAACAGGGCTGACAGCTGCCTCATAAGGCTGACAAGATGAGGTTTCCCTTGGCCTGAAACCATGAAACTCCAACTGCTTCCCATCATTCTGTACAGCAACCAGCATCTGAGAACTTTAACAACTCTTAGGATAAGAGGAAGTTGTCATTAACTAAAGCATTTTCTTTAATTAAGGCCATTAAAGGTTTTAGTGAGAAAGTGGCGGGGAAGGCTTTAGGAAGAAGGCAGTAAATAGTTGTCTGAATTCCTTTGCCTCAGGCTATTTTTTTTATTGGAAACCTCTTGTATAGAACTTGAAGCAGGTTAGTCTTTTCCACTTCAGTGTGAGGTCTGTGCAGGACTCCTGTACTGGAATCAAAGGGTAACAACAGCTAAAAGTAATCAGTTGAAACAGCTAATGGATGGTAAACTAGCTAGCTAAAATGAAAGGATATCTGTTTGGAATTATTTACTATAAGCTAACATGAATGTATAAGGTAAAACAACTAAATGTAATAGATATGGCTAGTGTTGAATAAAATTATTAACAAAGTTATACTCTAGGATTGGTTCTAACATTTGATTGAATCTAGATTGACACCATGATTGTTGCTTATTTAACCTGCATGTTCACTTTGTTTGTGTATGACTAATCTATCATACTAGAAAAGGAATAGTTAAGATTATATTTCAGAATACATAAGTTCACATACTTGCATGTCACAGCTATGTTTATGTAGTTACTTTTCACCCAATTATATGTTAATAAAGTATTAAGAGGTCATAGTATGGATAATCAAGATTGCTTTAACAAGACCCTTGTAATCTATATTATAAGAAGTGCTTAAGCCTTACATAATCAACATTATAAGTAGCCTTAGTGAACATATATCTTTATGTTTCAGTCTAGTATTAGCTATAAAATAATATGTTAGTGCTTTCTTTATAATGGCTTAACCTATGCACTTAAAATGCTTGTGTGAGTGTGTCAAAGCACAGAGACTTAGATAAATAGGAAAGCAAGCAGATATAGAAAGATAACAGGAAAGCAAGTCCAGGTGCAGTCTCAGGGTTGCCGAGATGACTGTTTGCAAGAAACATTATGGATTCTGTAAAAGTGTCTGTTTCAGGACAAGGCCGCGCCAGGGACGAGACCAGATACGGACGACGAGGTCGCGCCAGGGAGGAGTCAGATCAACCTACATTGTACATCCAAAGATTGTATAAAAGGGCTGGGTTCAGGAGACCAGGGGTTCCTGCTTCCTGAAGAGGCTGTGAACCATACTTCTGTAGTGTGGATAGGGCTTCGGAATAAATTGGAACCCAGAGCGCTCTGTAATTGCTTTTCCTTGACATTGTAATAAATATCTTAAAGGTTGTTCTGACTTTGATTCTTCCTCAGAAACAAACATGCAGGACAGTTAAGTCCAACACTAGCTAAATAGCTGAAATTCTAAACATTGAAATAAAGTAACATTATTGGCTAAATAGTTGAAATAAATGGCAGTGGTGATAAAAGTGTATTTCAAATTAATTTGACATGGTACAACTCATGCAAAAGATTTAACAGACCTCACTAATTTGATATAGTTTTCTTTTTCTTTTTCTTATTGTTGTTCATATCTCCCATAGGCCTGAAACAATTACTTGCCATTAGGTGAAATGAAACCTTTTTGTTAATGGTGTAATTACAAACTAAAACTGTACCTTTATTTATTGTTCTTGGAACTAAGTAAATGACTGCTGAACTGGACTACAGCCAAAGTCCCTCAGATGCTTCAGAAAATGTATTAAAGCTACTTGATCAAATGCACAGTCTGGAAGTTTAGACATATTTGAAATATACTACCCCTTATCAAGAGATTTGGCATATAAGAACATTTCCTAAAATCCAGAGGGAAATAAGTTGAGGTATTTAATAATTTGGGAGTGAAATGAAATGATCTTGATCAAAAATATTCTGGATGCAACTTTCTTCTTTCTTTCTGAGGCACAGTTTGATTCCTGCTCCCACTTTGCTCTGAGCCCAAATCTGTTAATGATCTCTTTGCCTTCAGTTTTAAGTGGGAGCAGGCATCTTGCGTGGCCCAGGGCAGAGCTACATGCCGTCACACACTCCACACAGGACTGCTTAACTGCGGTCTGGAGCACACAGGCACTGGACTGCGGAATGTGCGTATACAAGGAATGGGGGTTGGGCTGAGGAGAGAGAGAGGAAGCACAGCAGTGCCACTACACTCATCAAGGATCTCCATGTTTAGCGTGTGCTGTCTCTAATGAAGGCAGTTTTGAATCCCTTTACAGGGGGTCAAACATCTGGCACACCACCGAGTTTGTGCTGTAGTGGCATTCATGCACCCCTTATTAGAGGAATTAGCCGATCCATAGTGGGATTGGCTATGCAGTCAGCACTTAATCATTAGACAGACATCAGTTTACCTTACACCCATGTGAACCAACTTAATGGCAGGAAAACATAATTTTACAAAAGTTTTATTATCTTTTAAAATGTTTGTACACTTGGTATGACAATATGCTTACACAATAATTACAGTAGAATAGGGTGAAACTTCCTTTGTACATAGAAAATTAATTAAAAAAAACATGAAAATCTTCCACCACTGAAATAAAATAGAGGGCTGTGAGTCAGTGGGGCTCTAGGTTTGACAGACTTATGTTGTAACTGCATCAGGAGGGTTGAGCTAGTGAGAATGGGTGGGCTCGTTGTACTCCCTGACAGCCAGTCTCCTGTGTACAGCTTTGGTAAGTTTACACATTATTTACACTTTCATTCATGAAATGATAGTCCTTTTACAAAGTGTCTGCTTATTTAAACATTCCCAAAACTATTATTCAGTATATTCACATATAAAGCAATGTACACATGTTGAAACTTTGTTTAATTCAATTTAATAAGCTGCAACAAATCGGTGGTCTAATGCTAATGAAACTACTTTGATGACTCTTAGAAATTATAGTGTGACAACTTGTGGAGCAAGGCCAACCAAGCGGTCTCTAAGGTGAGTGAGAAAAAAAAACAAACAAAAAACAAACGGAACACAGGGATGTTTAGAAACGGTTAAAACGGCAATGCTACCGGCTTCAATTTCAGCATCATTCCTGTAACAAGAGGAAACTGGGCAGAACAGGGCGGAAGAGGAACTTGGACGGGAAAAAAACTGACACAGATAAACAGCACATCAAACCACAGCATTCAAACCCTGAACCCGTTATTATACATAAACTGATAAAAGATGTGGAAATACTGATGCCTAGCTCCCTCGTCAACCTGCTAGTCACTCACTGATCCCCAAGTGTATTGTGAGTAAAATCCTGGCGAGGGCATGACACATACAGGAATTTCCATAAGGATACCACCGACTTCGGTCGACATCATGCATTCATAAAATGACAAGGGGCTTCAAAATCTTGTGGTTAAGAAGGCAGGGGTTTGAGAGTGGAAGTCTGGACCTGCACAGCCCAGTTACAAGAAGCACCAGATACAGGCAGTGGCAGGGGGGCTGAAGCGTGCACAAGAAAAGGAGGTTGGGCAGGTGGGGGGAGACTGCTCTGTCATTGATCCATTGTTAACAGTGGAAAGTAACAAAGAAACTTTGATAAACATGATATCAAAGCTGATTCTCATGAGTAATCCTCACTCAGGACTAGAAGTGTTTAAAAAGTGGAATTGATGTGATCATCTCAGGAACATTTAAGAGCCACAAATGGAAACAAAAATGTTAAAAACAGTCAGTGAGAACATTAGTCTCTGTAGCACCCCTCAGTGTCATCTTTCGAGAACACCAGACCTGGAGTCTCGGGTTGTTCAGCAGCACTCGAGTCCCCGACAGTATCTTGACTAGCTCTCCTCCGAGATTCACAAGGGCTGAAGAGCTTCTTGGACAGCAGTGCAATTCTTAATCATAAATACAGGTAAGAAACTACTTCATGGTTCAGGCTGGCCAGTTCATACATGGAGTAGATGGAAAGGCAAATCTGTGCTTCTCCTGTGTTAGCGCAGAGCAAGTGTTAACATCTGTGGCCTCTGAAGTTAGTACACCTCTGTGTCCTCCTTGGGCCTGTACACAGAACCAAACCTCTGCATGTACTTCTTGATGTACTCCTTGGTCTTGTGTTTCACATTCTCATTACACTCAAGGTCCTCAGGATTCTTGCAAGCTTTCAGTTCCTTATTCATAACTCCATGTGTCAGCTAAAAGATTGAGAGGAGACAAGGAAAAGAGTTACACATATTTCTTATCACTAGACTACAGTAAAGTAAATACAGTGTATATCTAAGTTGTGGTACGGTGGTCGCTAGTGAATTTGTTCTTTCTAATGTGAGACACAACAATCTCTAAATGAGTGAAGCCGAGCTCATCTGTCTGTTTATTGTGCCCATGTCCTCAGAGCCCTGGTATGTCCAAGCGGTGCTCAGTGCTAACCACTCTCCACATACACAGTCCACAGCCCCACCGGGAACCCTAGACATAAGAAGGCTGCCTTTGATGAAACACTGGTTTTACAAATCCTTAAGAAAGTAAAGAGTAAAACAAAAGAGAGGGGGGATAATAGTTTACATGTACAATGTGTTCTTAGTCTCTTCCAGAGGCAGAATACAAAAGCATTTGCTGGAGAGAAAAAAAAAAAGAAAAAAAAAAAATCAAGGGAGTTCAACTATTTAGTTCTGGTTTGAGGGAAACTTTGAAAACGTCTCCTTTTAAGTTAAAAGCTGACCAATCCTTCCAACATGCTCTGACCATGTAGAGGCCAAGGAAAAGTTAAAAGCTTTTCTGGGATGAATGGAAATACTAACATCTTAATGTTTAATCCTACCTTTCTAGCTAGGTGTTTGAAATCTTCTGTATTGCTGATGCGTCCAAGTTTGCAGTCTGGCTTCCGATAAGGATTTAAACATTGCACGATGAACTGGGACATCTGAGAAACACACAAACAATGTACACAGAAACTAAATAAATGCTGTATAGGTGACTAGAAGGCACTCACTTGAACATGGTAAAGCTGTTAAACGTAAATGTCTAGAGCTGAACTTTGTCTCACCTCTTTGCGAAATGTCTCTTTACTTTTTTTAGCGAGTTCACTGGAAGTGTCTGCTTCAGCTGTCTTTGTGGAGAACTGTAACATAACAGAAGTGATAAATTATATGATTAAAGTGCTTCTTTGCAAACAAATATAATTTGTATTGCGTTAAACCCATGGATTTGTAAGTATAATTTGTCACCATCAAGGTCTGCTTATTATTATTTTACCACTTTATCACTCTTTCTTAGCTATAACAAAAGGCAGTTAAATGCAGACTTCAATTTAAGGCCCTACTTATTGTCTACAGGTCTCTTAATGGTCTAGGCGCATCAGAGATATGTTTGCTGAGGACAAGCCTGATAGGTGTCCCAGATCTGCAGGGACTGGTCAGCTAGTGGTGCCCAGAGTTCAAACTAAACAAGATGAAAGTGCTTTTAGCCATTATGCTGCCCACTGCTGGAACCAGCTCCCATTCGAATCAGAATCAGCTTTACTGGCCAGGTGTGTTGGACAAACAAAGAATTTGACTCTGGTACAGTGGCTCTCAATGTGTATGTACAATGTCCTTCTGTAAGCCTATGAGTAAACAAGTTAAGCCTGAGAGGACAAAAAAGTAAAGACTGGAATGCGCAAACAAGAAAAAGGAATGTGCATTAGGAAAATAAAAATATAAAAGGTAGAAATTAGATTTGCCCCAAATTTAAAAACTGTTCTTTTTCCACTGCTTTTAATTGTTTCTTAATTCAACCCAATACTGTACTTCATCTGCTTTTATTTTTCATCCATTACCCAGTAACCAATTGACTTCACTGTGTTTAGCGACAGTTTAGACAGATTTTCTGGAAGAAAGCATGTCCACCTCTGGTATAAATTACTCAGAGGTTAGTCTTGGGAAGAGTGAAGGAGAGGGGTACAAAGTATAATGAGAACAGTGAGAATCCAGTCCGCCACAGCTATTGTAAAAGTACTAGGTATCTATACTTGCATGTTGCTACTTTGTACTGGCATGTAATTGTTGCCTATAATTTGTATTTAAATGTTTTAACTGAGTTTGCATTCTAATGGTTTATTTATATATAATTTTTAATGTTTTATCTAACTGAGCATTGTTCTAAGCACTTTGATTTGCCTTTATGTATGAAAATGTGCTATATAAATAAACTTGCGACTTCACACACACACAACCTGGGACAAAAATGTGGAAATGGTGAAATTGAACAGTTTACAAGTGCTGAATATGGTCACCCTCAACATACTGGGAAAGTCCATGACCTTTTGGTTGTTTTGGGCAGGAAATGAAAAACATGGCTCTCTCCAATAAACTGTAACATGTTTTTAAAAGAGACAAAAATGACTCCTCTATTGTTAAACTATAACATAAGAAACTGCAAAAAAATGAATGCTAGGTTTTCCAGATGCTTTCCATTACCTCAAAGTCAGGATAAAAATGAAGAGGGAAAACAAACAAGGCAGAGGAAGAGAAAATGTGCTCAGCCATCCCCTCTTCCACCCTTCCCCATACAGCCTTGAAGCTAAGGAAGAGACAGCTGTGCAGGGGGTGGAGGGTGTGGATTCTCCCTTTAAACCTTTGGCTTATGTAGATTCTGATGAAGTGAGGAGTCACTGATGAGTGGTAATGCATACTCAATATGGTGTTGTGCTGAGTTTTTTCTTTTTTTCTCCCTTGAGACACAGCTGAAAGTAATCACTTGAGCAGCATCTTCAATTACCCCAAGAAACAAACACTATAATCATGTTTTGCAGCCAAGCGCAAACTTTCTGGGAACCAGATGAAAAGGTGAAGAAGATTCTTCTACATTGTCAAAGGAACGAACGTAGTTTTGTTCTCACTGATTTGCTTTTATGCAAAAAATGAGTACTGTACACAACTACTACACATTTCAGAGGCTTCATACGACACTTTGAAAACAATTACTGCTAAAAGCTCACCTTGGAAGGATTCTCATCATAGGTCGGTGTTCCCAGGTCCATCTCAGATTCATGGTCCACGCTACTGTTGTCGCTACTTCCTTCCCAGGTAGGGGGGTCCCACTGTGTTTGCCTAATGTTAAAAGAGAAATAATGTCGCATAGAAATACATGCAGGGGCTTTCTAGAGGCATAAACAAACACACACACACACACACACACACACACACACACAGCTATACCAACCTTGTGACAACATGGTAGTAGTAGATCTTGCCTTCAGGATCCCGAGCCACTTTCCAGTTTGGAGGTAAGACGATAGTTTTGGGTTTTGGGGGAGAAGGAGGAGGCAGGTCCATCACATTGTTAGATACAAGCATTTCCTGAAGATGAGAAGAAACAGAAAAGAAGCATCACCAGCTAGTCCATGTAGCTTCTCTTCTAAGTTGCAACAATTTTTGGCAGGTTTAGTTAAAAGAAATTGATACACTCAAGCTATATGTTTGTTGATTGTAATTTGTCATATGTGGGTGTCATTTTGATTTCCATTTACAAACGGAGCCCAGTAAGCCATTTCCTTTAATCTTACCTTGAAGGATACTTTGTTTTTGTAGGAGGCAAGACTTGAACTAACACAGCTCTTATGGGTTGCATAATTTAGGTTGCACACTACCCCCCTGTGGCTACATTGAAACAAAGGGCTGCTTTAAAACCTTATGTAGCAAAGGATGGGATTTGTAGAAATATCAACAACCTTTTAAAAGGTGTGCATTTAACCTTCTGGAAAACTGTTTCACCTTCAGAATAGAATCTTTAATAAAAAGTTTTTGGGACCTTCAAAGCAAATTATCAGTCAAAGATTAAGAGCAGATTTCTCTTTACTCCATATACCTCTGAAGGATGGAGCATGTACGTTACCTGTTGGACTGTTTGGGATGTGACAATGGTGGTGACTGTGCCTCCCTGCTGCACCACCACTCCCTGCTGATGCCCAGAATACACTGGCGGGCCATGCAGGTAGCTGGCTGTGGGCTCAGTGTACGTCTTCAGAAACACAAAGTACAATCAGGTCAGACAGGTCCTCTAGACATTCCAGGACTCTATTAAGTAGAGTTAAATATGTAACTATGCTGCGCTGAGCTGTAGCATAAAATAAAAGTGAACTACCATATCCACCATATTGGATTATTTGTACTATACTGTTAGACAGTTTCAGTATAATGCTACATATTCTGGTGGAAAACCCAATAAATTGGTCGAGTTTTATTATATCTTATAATTTGATTGAGCTGAATGGTAATAAAATTTTTACCACATTGAAAATTCACAGAAGAAATAGGTACTCAGATGTCAGATATGTTACACTCTTAATATAAGGGATTTTTTACATTGATGACAAAAATAATTTCATCCATGCTTTTTTTTTTAACATCATCTATTCTAGAAAGCAATAACAGCATCATAGTAAAGTACATTCTCCAGAGAGTATCAGAGCCAGGCAAGGCACCTTACCTGTATGACTGGAGTGTTGCTCTGAGGATAGGCAGTGGGGATACTATAGATGGTTGGACATGGCTGACCCTGGTAATAGATGGCTGTTTGCGCCTGGGCCTGTGCTGGAGCTGTGGCATATGGCTGTGCTGGCTGGGTCTGCACAGTCACTGCCTGCTGAGTGGTGGGATCCCAGAGAGTGGTGTAGCTCTGCTGGCCCTGTACCTGAGGGGCAGCCTGGGCTGGGACAGAGAGGACAGCTACACCTGCGTCCTGGGTTGCTACAGTTGGCTGGGCATACTGCTGGGGGTTGCCAGTGTTGAGGTTGGTGGTGGTGATATGCTGAGAGAGATTAGAGACCGGAGTGGCTTGGGAAGTGGAAGATGGAGATGTGAGTCCCAATTCTGAGATAAGACGCTGGGGAGGAGTTTGCTCATAGCTCAGGGTAGGCTCAACTGATGGGGTAGGGAGCAGTACCTTGCCTGCATTGGGGTTGGAGGGATCCACAAAAGTCTGGATGGGATAACCAGGAGGGTAGGTAATGAAGCCAGGACTGGAGGCATAGGCCAGAGCAGGGTCATAAACCATAGTCTGAAGCTGCTGCTGCTGAAGCTGTTGCTGTTTCTGGGCTTCCCGCTGAGCAACCTCCTGCTCGAAAAGCTTTCTGCGTTCCTCTGTGGATAGCTTGTTGCGCTCCTTGCCAGCAGCTCCCCTTGGTGTCTTGTTGCTGTTAGAAGGATCAAACCTAAAAAATTCAGAGAATAAGACAAGAGTTGAAAGCCAAAACTAAATAAATAAGTGTTTTCTAACAGGAGAAACTAATGATAAGGGAGGGTCTTCTAACTCTGTCCTCTGGTTTGTAGTGGCCATGATGTTCGCTAGCCACAGACTTGGTTAAGCTAAGATTTGCCACTTAATATGTTTGTGAGGGAACGTGGATTAGAAAAAATGCTCCACATGAAAAACAAGCCTACTGCTAACTACTAGTAAAGATGGCATTTAGTCTGCATCATACCTAATGTCCAGCACCAAAACAGTTCAGTGCCAATATGTGTACCTTTACACCCCTAGTATGAACCTATATAAAAACACACCGTTAGTGGAAGAATTCAGTGTTCTCCCGGTGGCAAAATAAGAATTCTTACCTTTCCTCAGCACGTCGGCTGCTCCTCTCATAGCATGAGGATGGTGGAGACATAGAGCGTCTTCTCCGTCTCTCTGTGCTGCGTGGAGTTTTTTCAGAGACTCGATCACGGTCCCTGTCGCGATCTTTGTCTCTGTCCCAGTCTCGCTCCCTGTCTCTGTCATAATCTCTGTCTCGTTCCCTGTCCTTTTCTCGCTCCCTTTCTCGTTCTCGGCTAACGGACGTGGTTCGTGGCATCAAAGCAGTGTCTCGATCTCGACTGCGATCTGTGAGAAAATCTAATTAGTTAAAATCCTACAGCACAATTCTAACCAAAAATCAGTAATGGACTTAACTTACCACTGGCTTCCTTTTCCACCTGACTCTTCTTTGGTATTCGGTATACCTCCTGAAAGGACAAATGCAACTTTGACTTCAAATATCAGAATACAACAGCATACAAATAACAAACTGAAAAAGGGATAATGCATTAAATTTTCAGGTATAGCTAACTCCATTTGAGTTCACCTTCAGATCCTTCCAGCTTTCCAGAAGCCTGGCAGCCATGCCACTAATGTCCAAAGCACTGAGTTGCGGCTCCTGACTCCTCTCACTTTCCACATCTGAGACGCCTTCCTCTTCATCCTGAGAAGGAGTTCCCATCACCGATGGGTCCAAAGGGACTGCCGTCACCTCAGAGGACATAGTAGCATCCGGGGCCTCAGAGCCGGGCAGAGCATCAGTGGTAGATTCACCAGGTTGAGCCTTGCTGCCAGGATGAGCTTTCTCTGCCTCTTGAGTCTCTACCTGGGTTTCGCCCTGGACTGAAGGCAGCTCAGGTGGAAGATCAGCAGTATCTGTTTGGATGAGCTGATTCTCTGGCTCAAGAACTTCAACGCAGGGCTGATCACTTGCCACTTCAGCCTTTTCTGTCACTGCCTGAGTAGTCTGCTCCTCCCCACTCACCTGTTCTTCACTAGCTTCCTTTGACTCCTCAAGTTCTTCCTTCAGACCCTCATCTGTGTCCTCTTTCATCTCAGTGTCCTCCTTCTTCAGTTCCAACTCCATTTCATCTTTCACTTCCTCAGTTTGAGGTTGATGCTGACTGCTTGAACTCATCCCTGCCTCTTCCTGTTTCTCAACACTGACCTCTTTCACTGACTCTTCCATCATTTCTTTTGTTGGGTCTGCAGCTTCAGCAGCTGGTTCTGTCTTCAGCTGCTTGTCAACAGGAAGTCCTGCATGTGAGGATTCATCTTCTTCCTCATCATCATCATCATCCTCCTCGTCCTCCTTACCATCAGATGCTTTGCTAGCATCTGAGAGAGCACTGTCCAGACTGTTTTCACTGATGATTTTAAGGCGGCGGTAAACAGCAGGTTTGGAGGGGTCACCATCCAGTTCCGGTCCCAGTTTGGTGGAGGAACCATCAGGAGTGTTGAGAGGTGTTTGCGCACGGGAGGTATTCTCACTGGAGTAGCCATCCATCTCAGCAGGCTGAGGGAAAGTTTTTGTTTGTGCCCATCGCTGAATAAAGGTCAGGACTCTGCTCTCCTCCAACATGTTCTTAGTAGAGATAGGAAGCACAGCCAGCGTCTTCATGATCTGTTAACAAAACAATATTAACATTATCAAAGATCAAAATAACATATGGCTGTGGAATTTATTATTTACATATGGATGTTTAGGCCGGTGACCTATCGAGGATGTACCCAACCTCTCATCCAATGTCAGCTGGGATTGGCTCCACACCCCCCCATGACCCTCGTCAGGATTAAGTGGTATAAATAATAGATGGATGGATATTTTAATGCTATGTTAACAACAATATCTCACCTCTAACTGCAGTTTGATGCTATTGGCACTGTTGCCTTTAGCTTCAGAAAGCTCCACCATGAAAATCCACAGCAAAGACAATCCATGATGGTCAAGGAATTGCTTCAGGCACGATGGATTCTGAGTATCCTGTGCAACACAAACATATTGCCTACTGTGAATAATGCTAACAACCAATGTCTCAACATTTAAACCAAATAATAACAGGAAAACAGACTAAATACTTTGTAAAAGTAGTCAATCCATGAGGTCATACTTGTATGAGCTTGAGACAGGTGAGTTTTTGCTCCATGGTTTCTACTCGGACCATTAGTCTGCAGAGAGAGACAACCTGTTTCTCATCATACAGGCCTTCTCCATTATCCAGTAACACCTCCAGCTCCTCATCAACCTGTGGAAGGTCAATGTGATGTTATTATAAAGTTACTGTTGTGATAACCAAGTTTAACTATACTGCCATTACTCACAACCAGGTGAAAATCGCTGGAATTGCATACCAAGGAAAGTTAGCATGTTTGGGGGTTATCAACCAAATTTAAAATATCTAATTGTGGTGTTTACTGAATTGCTGAAAGTTATTTTAGTAATCAACAGAAAATTAAATTATCACAACCTTTGCCATCTATCTGTTAACTATTTGCAGAAAAAACTATTTAAACATCTGCTGTTTACAGCTACATTTTTATGTCACTGTCAAAATGAAACACTTTATAAAATGTACTAGGCTCTACTAGTATCTACTAGACAGCTTAAATGTACTAGGCTCTAAAGTGTCCTGTCTTTTGTGTTTTATATACATTATTTATGGCTAGGACCAGCCATTGAAGCTCCAAGTGTGACTACTGTGGACTAAATTATACTGAAACAACATCTCACCTGTAAATAACTGTGGAGGAAAATGTTCCTTTGCAAATAATTGCTGTCCAGAAAACTACACAAATGTATGCAGAGAGATGCCAGATGGAGTTTCAAATATAAAAGAACTGACCGTGGTGAGAGCACTCTTTCGACTACGGTCTTTCTTCATCTTCCCTCCAGCTGCCCGAACACTGACTCTGTTCTCCCCACCAAGGAAGCCTCTGCAGCTGGGTGCACCACAGAAGCATTTCTGTGCTTCTTTACTGGAAGGTAAAATAAAACAAAGGTGAAATCCCCAAAAGAAAAGGTTAAATATCCAGTGTTTATGACCAAAACTGTGTGGACACATATCTCTATGTTAAATGCTATGTTAACTGAAAGGAAAGGAATACCCATATCTCTGGAACTGGTAATCAAATGTCAGTTCAGTTCCTGCAGTAACAGCCTTGGTGGTGAAGAACCCAACTCTAAGCTGGCCATTGACAGTCCACTGAAATGGGATAAAATTATCATCACGTATGTCAGCTTTCAGTTGGCCAAGCTGATTGAGTAGTAAGCGCTTTCTCTTGCCACTGTACCTTCTGGGTCTCACAGTTAGGCTCGCAGCTATGGTTCATAAACCGAGAGCAGTTACCCTTCAGTGTTGCGTCAATAATCTGATGAGACATAATGCAAAGTCACGTATTTCTGCCACTTTACCTGAATCTTTAAACCAGACTGCAGTTAAAAAATTAGCATTAAATGCAAAGTGTGGTAGAATCAATTACCTCATTATTTTTTAGAGACATGAAGTAGTAGTGGATGTTTTTATTGCGAGCATATTCTTTAACCCTTGTTTTGAACTCCTTGTGATCCAAAACTTCCCCGCAGTATTCCAGTACAAAGGTGTTTCTGAGAACACAACAAAAGCAAAAATGTTTAACAGTAATCTTGTCTGTTCCATCAACCAGAACATTCACGGACAAATAAATTAACTATATAAAACCTGCAATAGAAGCCTCTGATTCCACTAGCTTTTTGCCAATCACTCCAAAATATAGACAACATTGTCATCATAAATAAATATTGTGTGAGAAAATGTGCAATCCAACACAGTAGGTTGTCCCACAATATTTGTTACTTTTGTAAACAATTTAATGTTAAATACTAGAAAAACATTATGAAATGTTGCACTGAAAACTCCGAAAAGCCTTACAGAGCCAAGTCTTTAGCTGCCCGTAGTCCCCAGCCCTTGTCTTCTGTGAGGATAACCTCAAAGTCTGCATGTTGTTTCATCTGAAAGCGACGATTAGAGCAGTAGGTTCCATTTAGGCAGCGTGATGAGCTGAGAAAAAAAAAAAAATTAAGCATGAAAGAAAACATTAAGCTCAGGCTCATGTTCCTACAAATCTTTGATTTTTAATGTTCTTAACTTTGACAGAATTAAATAATTTGTCTGGTTGTCAAAAATGAGATTTAACAGTATTTGTCTATACTTTTCTTTACAAAGTGTGCAATCTTTTTAATACTAAAAATGAACAGTGTTTGTGTTTCCAGGTTTTTCTAATCTAGGAACCCTCTTACATGTTGAGATACATCTTTATCAATTATAATCAACATACCACTCGATCATCAGCAGCCGGTTTAAACAGTCTTCCCCACATGCTAGTACTCCTCTTAAACGCTCCTCTCTGGGCAACACTGGGCACTCGCATTGCATTCGCTTGATATCTCGATGAGATTTGTTCTTTTTTCTGCAGATAACATTTAAAAACATCAAAACTCAAGTTTGAAGGTACTGTTTTATTACTTATTCATTGCACAAACGGATTTGGATTTTGTAATTTAGGCTGGACAACACATTACCTCTCAGTCAAGTACATGTTTTCCTCAATCAAGTCGAAATAAGGGGGCATCTTCTTAGATTTGGCCAACTCTTTCCATTTACTGGCATCTTGAAAATCCAGCAGAGTAAGTGATGGACACAGCACCTTAGCTTTGACAAGCGTTTCCTTACAGGTATCAGTATCTCCTTGACGCTCCCGTTTGCCTGCAGGCCCAGCTTCTGCCTCATTGTCTGAATCTGACTCAATCTCTGGACGCCTTTTCTTGGGTGGACCCCTGCCTCTATGGGGTCTAAAATGGTCTTCTCTGCGGGGGTCAGGCATTGTAGAGCCCCTGCTGTTACTGCTTATTTCATGACCCTGTACAAAGCTATATGACCCTGGAGTGTTAGATCCACTGAAATCAACAGCTGTTTTACTAAGATTTGATGATTTTTCACCACTGTAGTCATCATGGTCATTAGTGAGAGAGTCGGGATGGATTTCACCTGCAGGATCCTGATAATTTTCATGCGAATGGTGGTAGAGGTTTTTGCTAGTAGGCATGTTAAGGGATTGGTGGTTCCAGGGGGCATTACTCTGCATGTGCTCTTGTTCTTTAATAGAGGCTCCTATCAGTTTAGTGTTTGTTAACTGTGGCCCATGACTGCTATCAGGCTGCTGATATGTACTACTGGGCTGTTCTGTTTGTGAAAAATCCCAGCCCAAGCTGATTCCATTCTTGTTATTGATATTATCAGCACTGGAGAAGTCATCATGTTGATAATGGGGATACATCTGTTCACCTCTGCTGCTTACTGCATGCTGTTTGTGCCCTTGTACACACTGTCTGGAATTATCTAGGCTGTGAGCAGGATCTGTAGCACTTCTATGAGTACTGACATGACCAAGGATGTAGGGTAGGGCAAGGATGGAGCTGGAACCCTCAGAGTGACTGGTGCTATCAATCATATCGCTCTGGGATTGACACAACATACTGCCATTGGATGAGTCATTTACCCCAGCATAAGGACCACTGATCGCACCAAAATCAATGGAAGGACTCACCTGTCTTTGTTCAGAAGTGACTTGAGTTGGGATTTCACAGATATTCATGTCTGCTGCTATATCAGCATTGTGCCGTTCTGAATTATTCACAGGAATGCAGGAAGCTCCTGTGTCATGTCTATCCATTGTTAGGGATGAATTCTTTGGCACTACTACCACAGAGTGCAATCGTTTTATAGCCTCACCACAATCAGAGTCATACTCTGAGTTGTCACTATCACTGGCCTCACTCTGCCCCCCTGATGTATCCTGAATAAGTGATTTCTTAATCACTGTGGTATTGTGACCACTGTCCTTTGATTTTTCTTCATGTTCATCATCATTCCAACTTAGCGTTTTTGCAGGTGTGTCAACCTTTGAGATATCATTTATATGTAGAGGCTCATCTTCTGTGTTTTGAGAAACAGTCTGTTTTAAATCACTGAGGTCAATGCTGGTGCTTACTTGTGGTGGCTCACTTTGGTCTTCACATTTTTCAGCCACAAAGGTACCATCTAGGCTGACTTCCTGCTTAGAGATCTCAGTCTGCTTCACTGGTATGGAATGTGTTTCAGATTCTTGAATATTATCTTTATTGCCAGTGTCTTGTTGGTTGTTGTCTTTAGAAAACTCTATCTTTTTGACAGAGATAACTTTTTTAACAGTAGGCTTACTCTCTGCACCAAGTGTCCTCTGTGAATTATCTCTCTCTAAGGTGTCCTGCCCAACAATATCCCATCGAGATTTTTTGACAGTACTGCTGCTTTTTTTAACAGTATCCATGCTTTGCTGTTCACATGTTAGCTGATTTTCAAATTCAAGATGGGAAGAATCCAATTTGAGTGGCACACTTGTGTCAGTTTGCTTGTTGACTGTCATAGGTTCATTCGGCTCAATCTCTGCTTTAGTGTTCTCCTGTGGGCCATGTGTGACAGGTATATCTGCTGTATCTGCTAAGGACCTTGGCCCTAGTGAGTCGTCAACGACTTTCTTGTTCTGGGCCGGGCTGCATATTATACTATCATTACTATTGCATGAATTTAAGACAACCTCATTTAAGTTCACATTTGGTTGATTATTAGAAGAAAGGCTGTCCTTCACATGGATCAAGTTTTTTAGGGTGACTCTTACGTGCTTTAGGGTTTCAATTGAGGTTATAGCTGAGGTCAATTTATTCTCAACTTCAAGACTTGATGTAGGTTCTTTAGGCCTTTTGGATGATGGTTCTTGCAAATCATTTTCACTATGTGAGACAATTTCCTTAAGATCCTGATTACTGTGTTCATTAACATCTTGACAAGAATCAGATTTTTCTTTTTCACTCTGAGAACACAGTTCTGTAACGGATGCATGGGATTGAGTTTTGCTGGAGCTGTGAAATATGTCATCTGATTGTCCATCATGTCCAGTGGTTTTTACAGAAGATCCAAAAGGGGTCACTTGTTTCAAGTCTTGTCTACTGGTTTTCTTTAGGGAGTTTTTGCTGTTTTCCTCTGGGCCAGAGATTTTGTCCAAAGCCTGTGATTTTGCCTTATGATCTGCCTCAGAGTCACTGGGGCTGCTTTTTTGGCATTTTTCATATGTTTGAGAGCGGGTATGCATACCAAAAGAAGAATTAATGTTAGTCTCCGACTTGTGATGGGTGCTAGATATACGGTAACCAGAGTCCAAATCAGGAGAGGACTTGTGCTGTAAATCAGAGTCAGACAATCGCTTTGAAGTCCTTTCAGACTTTGATGACTGTGTTCTTTTATCCAAGTCTGAAGAGTGAGGAGACCCTGTAGATTTAGAAACTTTCTCAGATTTTGAGTAGGAAGACGATTTTGACTCTTTATGTGAGCTCCAATGAGTGGATGATCTGGTGGAGTCACTTGTCCTTGTCCTAGTCTTCCTGTGGTCATCCTCAGATTCAGAACTGTCCCGAGTTCTGTCAGTGCGAGAATGAGAACGTCTCCTCTCTCTGCGTGGAGAACTCCTGTATGATCGACGGTCAGAATCATGATAGTATGACCTTTCAGAGCGTGATCCTCTGTCACCTCTTGATCTCTCTGATCTAGAGTGAGAAGAACTTGTTCGAGACCCTCTTGATCTAGACCGTGATCTAGACCTGGACCTTCTGCGATCTTTGTCTAATCGAGATGAACGTGAAGATGTCCGTCTAGAATCACGGTCTGATTTGAAGTAACTAGAAGACCTTTCATGATTCTCTGACCGCTTAGAGGAACTTTTTTCTTTTTCTTCCATATGTGAAACAGAGGAACACTTTTTTACCTCTTTGCTTCTGCTATCAGAATTTGTTTTGCTTTTGAAGTCAGCTGATTTGCGGCTAGAAGCCATCTGGACTGAATCTCCATCGGATTCTGAGCCCAGAGGAGCATTATTAGATTGGGACCTGGTTTTCCTTTTGTATACTTTATTATCCTGCTCAGTACTGCTGGGAGTCTCTCCATCTTTTCCTGGAGAAGCAGTTGGCTTCTTGAGGCTCAGAGTTACCCTTGTTTCAGAGGTTTCAATGTGAGCATTCTCAGATGGGCAGACACTGGTGACATTCTGAGGCTGGGGTGTTGGGAACTCTGCTGAACTCTTACTTGTTGACTTGTTGACTTGCTGGACCTGCAATTCAGAGGAATGCTCCTCCTCTTGCAAAACAGATGTTGGTTTCTCTTCAGTCACAGAGACACTGAGAATTTGCTTTTTGAAATGTATCTTTGCTAAGTCCGGTTTCAGTTTAGTAGCTGAGGTGAATGGGGTTTGAGACGGTGTCTCTGGTGTTGATGATGGTAACGTGGGTGTCTGCTTTTGCTCAGTTTTGCTTGTACTCTGCCCTCCTTTGTCTAAGGTTGACTGTGATGAGGCAACCTGAGGTTCAGTGACAGACTTATCAGGGCTTGCATGGATGAAGAACCGGCTTTTCAGGGGCTTCTTGGTCTGTGAGAAGCTGAAGGACACTTTCTGACGACCCTGATCCTCTAAGTTGACCTTCATCTTGCTCCCTTTAGGCAAGAGATGGTTGTATAGCATCACTCTGGGAGACAGACTTTTGATTAGTGCTGCCTTGGATAGGCCCTCCACCTTCACCTACAATAAAAGAAAAAAAACATATCTGTTAGCAACTTTCTTGATAAATGAAGTGAGCCACAGGGCTTGTATCATAACAAAAATTGCTAAAATGCTGATTAGCTTGTTATTAAGACTTACCGAAGCACCACTCCCCTCATCTCTGTAGTTATATAAGAACACCACGGGAACATAAAAAGAGAGGAAAGACAGAAATCAATTTGGACAGTTCACACAGAACTACTAAACAATCTTAAAATGACCAGGTGGGGATAAAAGAAAGCTTGGTAACCTTGCGGGATGTAAAAATATTCTTCCTACAATGGATTCCCAAATCTTGAAGTGAAAAGGCACTTTATTTAGAGATAAGCATATCAGATTTAAAGAAAATATTCTTACATACAAGGTGATAAAATTTCATCACCATTTCATTTAAACAATTTTTGCTTGTGGGGCGCACCATAGCCAAATGGTTATGGCACAACGTACCATAAACCCTGCTGCAGTTCATCAAGTTAGCGATTCAACTCCAGCCACTGACAGCTCTGTTGCAGGTCTCTGTCTCTCATTACTTAATGAAAATAAATTAAAAATAAAGGTTGTAAAGCCCCCTCCCCACAAAAAAGAATGTTTGCTTTTTACATGATATTCAACTGAGAGTAATGGGAAAAGGGGGGAATGAATGATGTACAACAAAACTCGTAGAATGGATTCCTTTTCAGGACATAAAGTAGCAGTCATATCCTAGTATGTGTTTAGGCTATAGGCACAACTTTGCACAGTGATTGAAATTAATGGATTTACATGGAAAGTAAAAAATAAAAAGATACTCTCCTGTGCTATTCGATACAAAGTTAGTTATACTGGATTTACACAGAGTGGACTGTCGGAAGCACTGAAAGGAAGGAGTAGATGGCCAAAGTAAAAAGTAAGCTGAAAACATATTAAAAATGTCTTATTTATACTGTATAATTCTTCAAAATTCTGTTCATCTCTTTATACTGGCCACTGATGGTGGTAAATCAGTAGTCTCTACAACAAAAATATACCAGTATTGATTTAGTTTTTGCTTAGGCTAAATTTACATAAATGCTCAGCATGGTGTTTCTCAGCAAAAGTGAGACAAATAAACCATGGCATTTATGAAGTGGAAAAGGCAAAATCACTGGGAAATTGACTAAATTACTTTAAAAAGTAAAGGAAATGAAAGAAAATATGCCACACCAGATGGTCTGTGAACCAGGAAAATTAAAATGGGTTTTTGAACATGTACATATATACACAGTATATTTACATTGAATAATGTTGCACATAAATAAACCTGAACAAATACAAGAGCTTATATACACTGGCTGCACAACAGATCTTTACCATTTCAGCAGTGTTTTAGATGCGTTTTTTTCACTCATGTGAATGCCTTGACCTGTTGTAAATGTTTGCGATTTTATATTAAGTCTGTGATATCACTGCAGAGTGTGGTCAAAGGTTAGGATTTAAGACTTGCATCTTTCTATTGTAAGGTCTCTGTAATTGGTTTTCTAAGAAAAACCTTTTTCATCAGAACACTGAAATATTCTGTTAATGGGATAATGATGGGGTAAACAAAATTTACAGATATTAATTTCAATGATGTGAACTCAAGCAAACAGACCTCATGTAAACAAAATAAACACACAAAACAACTGTAAATGAACTGCGCTGTATATTTAGATGAACTATAACAGTATCCTAAACAAGTGAGGAAATAACCTCCAACTCACATTATATAGGTTTACTGTCTACATTGCTGTGATTAGCACCTAGTGTTGTCACTTAGAAAACAGTACAACATGTAAAATAGTGAATTATTTGGGGTTTGCACCTCTTTTTGTCCTACTAAAGTGTGTGTGTGTTTTCAGGCTCAGTGTGGGTGTTGGGTAATAATTGGGTCACTTAATCCTTTAGGATTTCATTTTCTCCTTTTTCTCTGTGACCTTCAAAATGTGACACTTCTGCAGGCACTCATATACAGTGTCTGTTGCTGCACTGCACAACCCATCTATATACTGACCAGTCAAAAATGCACACAAAAAACACAAACACAAAAAATAGCCCAGAACTTTCTGCAAAGGACAGGCTTGTATTTTAATGATCAATAAATTAGTGTATGAATAATGATAGGGTGAAGCTTAAATTAAAATGTTATAACAGTGAGTTGTGCCAGAAAGATCTGCACAGATTATATAAAAAAAAAAACTACAACTTGATCACCTAATTAAAATGATTTCCATATACTATAAACAAGACATAAGCTAAAATTTCCAATTTGTGCTGTCTAATACCTGATCTCTGACTTGAGTAGAGTGTCCATTGAGAAACTCATCTAGGATTAGTAGGCCTGAAGAGGCTGCTGGCCAAGAATAATCCAAATCAGAGAAATGAGCCTTCCAAAGTGACGCCACACCTGACAAAAAGAAAAATAGGATTGCAATTAACTGAGTCTGGTTGTTCCACAACAGCTTACAGCTACTCTGTCAAGAGCCTCAGCATCTAAATCCTACAAATGCAGAAATTCAGCTTTCTGACACATTAAGTATAATGTGTCTGGCTTGGGCAAAACTGAATGTATATGTTGTAATCTATGTCAGTGTGTGTGTGCGTGGTGTCGCATGCATTCATCCGTTGAGTATTAACGACTTCTGCAGAATATCCCTCCCTGAGATTCCTGTTATCTATTGTCGCAATGTGACAGAGAAACCCACTGAACTTAATATCTGTTATATCTCTGCTAGAAACAGAAATTTCCCCATTCTTCAGCTTGGTGCCCATTCATCTCTACTACTGTCGCCTTAAATGCATCACATTGTGCTGATCAGAGCAACAACAAAAGTAAAGGGTTACATTCACCTATGGCTTATATGGTCCAAGATGAAAAACAAATGCATGCATGTCAATATTAGACATGTAAAGAGCAAGCAAATGGCCTACAGAAAATAAACAGTGTAATATGAGGATTTTCGTGAAAGAACACATCGACACTCATGTGAAAACAAACATAGCTGGTGTGAAGTAAATTAGGAAACTAACTAAAGCATGGCCTGTGCTGGAGGAGTGGATGCAGCCATAACATGGCCTTTAAAGGGATCCTTTTACCCACTATGAAAATTAGTAGAGGATGTGCACTAAATCTATCGATTTAGTTGTGTTTGATCAAGATTTGATAATTAATCAGACTAGCTACATCAAATATATATGTAACAAGCAGGCAGGAAAAACGTAATGAACGTAGCATTTGGAATACTACGCTAGTTTATATAAAATATCAGAACCAGCTAAGCTAACTTGGACAAGCTAACACCAACAGAGCTTTCGTGGGCCATCTTAAACGATAGCATTAGCTCGCGCTGGGCTTTGTATGACTGGTGTTGTTAATGTTTTATGCTTGGAAATGTGATATGTACGACCTTTAGCGTGTTCTTGGCTACACAACAGATGTAAACAAAGACATTTGTTTGTATGAACGATGACGGTATGCCGAGGAACTCTAGTAGCATCAACACCTAATGTAAGCTAAGTTAGCTAACTCTCCTAAGTAGCAGCCACAAGGCTAACGCTAACGTACCTGATGGTCACTCATATTCTACTTATCGATCTTTGATATGTACGAAGTGCGCAAAGTAAATGTATTTACGATTTTCTTGACTATTTTAGGAGCCCGTTACTTAAAATGTTATGAATCCGTAAGAAAGGTTTGATATACTTTCCGTTTTAGGATATAATGGACCCATATACTCGAGGCTGTGCACCCGGCTTTACTAGCATGCTAGCTAATGCTGTTTTGTCTCAGTTAAGTTGTGTGTAGCAAGCTGATTTTACAAGAATTAACGTCACGTTAAAAACAAACCGTAAATCACTGGTTCACGAAGTACTCACTTTACGAAGTGTTTAAGGTCACAAGGTTCCCTCATTTCCAAAATGACCGGTAATCGACCTTTTGTAAAACATCAAGCAACAATGTATGCCGACGTTAAATCCATACGGAGGTGTCGGAAGTGATCTTCGGCTCAGTGACTCCACTGCTGCGCCCCAGCTTCAGCCTGGGTGAATGTCGGTGATATCGAGCTAGCATGAGCTCACATAGTTAGAAAAAAGCTGCAGGGGAGATCCAATATGCAAATGATCATAAAAGCAAAGCCCCAAATAGTATCTTACTTAGCCCAACCTGTAAATTTCAATGAGACTTGACAACCGGATCCACCTGAAGGTACATAATCATGACTATGTTGCAGCCTACTTTTATTCCACACACCAATCCTCAGTGTCTCTGGCTGCTGTGTTCAACAACATCACATGATGTGGGAGCACAGCTGGCGCGCACCACGGAGCGTACTGAGATTATTCCATTATGGCTACAAAATAAAAATATACATAAGTATAGGCCTACAGTACTATGCAAAAGGTCCAGGCACTAAAAGAAAAACTGACGATTTAAACACTGCCATGAATAGTGTAACTCATCAATTAACTCTATTCAATGTGCAGTAAACATAAAAACCTAGGCCATCTGGTGTGACCACCATTTTCCTTTTAAACAGGTCCTTTCTTTTAAAAGAACTTGGGCACTGTTCTGAAAGGTAGGCAATTTGGCACTGAAGTCTTTTCAGTTCTTGTACCACGCTAATTCTGAGAGACGAGGCAGTCCAAGTAACTTCAATACAGTTCTGATTTATTCAATGAACACAGGTACAAATTAACATTACACGCTCAGGTATCTTGCACCCCCAACATGCACGCAGGTGTGTGTAGCTAAAAACATTCTCACACGACCTCTAGTAACATGTCGTGACTTAAACATAAGAAAATATTATGGCTATGGCTGCAGTTATACACATAATAATAATAATAATAATAATCATCATCATCCTGTCTCCTGACAGTCACACTTTTCTATCTAGTTATCCTTGACCAGATGAACCCTGTAAAAAACTCATGACAATGACTAAGCATTTAAACAGTCTAACTAGACATCCTGTCTCCACTAAACATTTCTAATACATAAAGTATCAAACCAATACCTATCTGCCTAAAAATACCTAACAGCACGTAGGGGGGCACAGTGTTGTAGTGGTAGTCCTGTTGCTTCAGCAAGGAACTTCAAGCCTGCATGGGTTTCATCTGGTTATGATAGGCTAAATCATATAGGTATGAATGGTTGTCTGTCGCAGTGTGTTAGCCCTGTGATAAACAGGTGACCAGTCTACCCCGCCTCTCGCCTCGCATCGTCTGAAATAGGCTCCAACATCCATCGATCCTTAAGGATAAGCAATATGTGATGGATGGCAGATAGGTTTTTTTTAAACATCTTGGAGAACTTGCCCTCTGTGGACTTAACCCTCCTCAGCTGATTAGGAGTCTGATGGCAGAGGGAAAGAAAGAGTTTTTCAGTGTGAAATGCAGGACCTCCAGACTGAAAAACTCTTTCTTTTCCTCTGCCATCAGACTCCTAAACAGCTGAGAAGTTTATTACCAAAAAAAAAAAAGTTCAGCTCTGATATTAATTTGCAGCAGCAGCAGAAACAAGTTAAGTTGTGTGCAAAGATTCCCCCAGCCATTATTTGAGAGAACACGCTGATGGGCAGTATACATAATGTATATACAGTATATATATCCCCCCCATGACCCTATTGAGGAATAAGCGGTATGGATGGATGGAGAAACAACCAGTCTGACCAAATGACCAGGCCTCATCTCCACTATCTTTTATCACTTTCACAACAATGTATTCATGTAAAAGGAAAATATTAGAGCTAAAAACAACTGTTAATTGACCAAACACATGCTGAATATGTTTAATGCTTTAATACAGGTTAGCTCTGAAATCTGTTCCCTTTGGCCCACTGCTATTAATGTTAGTCATTATACCATACAATGGTGAACTTAATGACGTTTAAGCCTTAAACAGTACAACACCCAGAAACCCAACAAGAAAAGGCAAGAGTGCTGAAAATAAGAAAAGACATTTCCACAGAAACAAGTTCAAGCTTGTGCTATGATCCGTTGTGATGCCTGATCTCACAAGTATTTTGTCATGTTTTTGTACAGTCCATTTAACGTGCAGTGAATAAGTGTTTGGTCTGGCTGGGTTTCCCTAAACCTGAATAACAACTGCGAAATGAGCTTTCTTCGCAGGGCGGCCGGGCGCACCCTTAGAGATAGGGTGAGGAGCTCGGTCACCCGGGAGGAGCTCAGAGTAGAACCGCTGCTCCTCCACATCGAGAGGAGCCAGCTGAGGTGGCTCGGGCATCTGTTTCGGATGCCTCCTGGGCGCCTTCCTAGGGAGGTGTTCCGGGCATGTCCCACCGGGAGGAGGCCCTGGGGAGGACCCAGGACACGCTGGAGGGACTATGTCTCTCGGCTGACCTGGGAACGCCTTGGCATTCCCCCGGAGGAGCTGGAGGAGGTGTCTGGAGAGAGGGAAGTCTGGGCATCTTTGCTTAGACTGCTGCCCCCGCGACCCGGTCCCGGATAAGAGGAGGAAATGGATGGATATATTTTTATTATTTTGCTGCATTGCTGCTTAAAGTGCCTTAGATTTTGTGTTACTTACTTATCTAATTTATATTTCATTTGTATTTTGTGGCATTCATGTGGACGGCAAAGTAAGAATTTCATTGTACAGGGAAACACGTTTCCTAACTGTGCGTATGACAAATAAACACTTTGACTCTGAATCTTAACAATTTCTGTCTTTTCACGTACTGACTCCATGGTGTTAAGATCAGGGCTCTATAAGGGCCATTCCATCTTTTGCAGGTATGCTTGTTCTTCTTGTCACTCAACATAGTACTTATAGCATACTTAGTACTATGTTTGGAGTTGTTGTCATGCTGCAGAATGAATCTGAGACACCCTGCTGATGACGTGATGTATAAGAATCTAAAGATCTGAAGTACCTAAAACCTTTGCACAGTACTGCAGGTTTATATACAGATAAAATTAGGCTATGCAACATACAGGAAATGATACAAATGTCATTTACTACTGTGAGAAGATGCAGCTACCTTGTTAAAGCCAGTTCAGTATTTGTGCTCCCCACATAATGAAACATGAAAAAGTGTGACTTAGAAATTGTAATTGTGTTAGTTATTAATAGGAAAGGTTGGAAATTCAGCAATATACAGTAGAGTCTAAACATAATCTTTCTTTCAAGAAAGCCAAAGTATGTTATTATATTCTATCATTTCAGAGGCCAGGAGTCTTCACTCGTGGTATTGTTCCTGACCATAATTAACCAAAAAGATTATGCTTGTTGGACCCAGTAGTAGCCCAGTTGGTATTATTACAGAAATTCAAGTCTGCCAGGGTGAGAAAAAGGTGGATCTAAGAAATAAGGTGTTATGTTTTGTAGTTTAGGACCCAAACATACACCCAGTGCAACACAAAGCTATAGAGTATTGTGAAGAAAAGTACACTTTCAGACTTAATGTCTGTGTTAGGTTAACATAGCTTCATTGTAGATGACAAACTTAAAAACAGGACAATAGAGACAAAGGCAGTGGAGGCTGATACAGATGGCCTAGGCGGCAAACATTTACAGAGATGGTGAATGTAGTTAAATGTTTTCAGGTTAAACACTTGCAGAAACTCTTCAAACTATGGCATTACACATTCCGGTACAGTAGGTGGCGGCATGTACCCTTCACGTTGGTTTGCAGCCCGACATTACAAGTGAAGAGGTGCTTCCTTAAATATTCATTTGGAGAAGAAGACGACATTAAGTTGAGCTTACCCGTTTTGAATTTATTCTTTGTTCTCGACTTTGTATGAGAACTCGTGCTTGTTAATTGTGTAAGTTTTTTGTTAGTTAGGTAACTATATTTTGTGTTATATAGAACACAGTGTCATTGCTACAGGTTAGTGTGGGCCATCAAATGAGCTAACTGAAGCTAGAGGCCTAGCTGGCAACTTAGCTAGCCTCGACATTTTGCAGAGCTTTGTTTGAGCGGCAGTCTTTGCCTCCCGTCTAGCTAACGAAATTCGTTATCAAAGTTAAATTGCACACACCGTTACCATAGTTTCAGATTGTCTGTATTTTGTGACTTAACGCCGATTAATGTTGCGGTTAGCAACGTAGTCCTTGTGTATTTAATGACCACACGATTGCTCTGTGCGTTTGTTGAATGGTGTTTTAACCAACTATTCTCCGGTGAGTTTGTAATGCTCGGAGCCTACAGCTACGTGGGTGGGCCGATAATGAAGCTAAATTGATATTTGATTTCGCTTCATTTATTGTGGGGTTTTCTGCTTTCCGGGGGCACATTGGTTTCGTTTTAATAATGCTGTCAATCAACTTGCACACTTAGTCTACATAGGGTAGTTGCGAGTCCTTACTGGAGATGCATCTACATGCAGTGAAGATCTATAGGTGCATCTCAATAAATTAGAATATCGTGGAAAAGTCAATTTATTTCAGTAATTCAACTCAAATAGTGAAAACCGTGTATTATATAAATTCAGTACACACAGACTGAAGTAGTTTAAGGCGTTGGGACTTTTAATTGTGATGATTTTACTCACATTTAACAACCCGCCAATTCACCATCAATAAATTAGAATACCTCATAAGACCTATAAAAAACATTTTTAGTGAATTGCTGGCCTTCTGGAAAGTATGTTCATTTACTGTATATGTACTCAATACTTGGTAGGGGCTCCTTTTGTTTAATTAGTGCCTCAATTCGGCGTGGCATGGAGATGATCAGTTTGTGGCACTGCTGAGGTGGTATGGAAGCCCAGGTTTCTTTGACAGTGGCCTTCAGCTCATCTGCATTATTTTGGTCTCTCATTTTCCTCTTGACAGTACCCCATAGATTCTTTAAGGGGTTCAGGTCTGGTGAGTTTTCCTGGCTAGTCAAGCACACAAACACCATGGTCATTTAACTATCTTTTGGCAGTGTGGGCAGGTGCCAACTCCTGCTGGAAAATGAAATCAGCATCTCCAAAAAGCTGGTCAGCAGGAGGAAGCATGAAGTGCTCTAAAACTTGGTAAACGGGTGCAGTGACTTTGGTTTAAAAAACAAAACAAAAAAAGAAAACACAGTGGACCAACACCAGCAGATGACATTGCACCCCAAACCATCACAGACTCTGGAAACTTAACACTGGACTTCAAGCAACTTGGGCTATGAGCTTCTCCACCCTTCCTCCAGACTCTAGGACCTTGGTTTCCAAATGAAATACAAAACTTGCTCTCATCTGAAAAGAGGACTTTGGACCACTGGGCAACAGTCCAGTTCTTCTCCTTAGTCCAGCTAAGACGCCTCTGCTGTTGTCTGTGGTTCAGGAGTGGCTTGACCAGAGGAATACGACAACTGTAGTCAAATTCCTTGATACGGCGGTGTGTGGTGGCCCTTGATGCCTTGACCCCAGCCTCAGTCCATTCCTTGTAAAGTTCACCCAAATTCTTGAATCGATTTTGCTTGACAAGCCTCTCAAGGATGCAATTCTTTTGGTTGTTTGTGCATTTTTTTCCTACCACTCAACTTTCTGTTAACATGCTTGGATACAGCACTCTGTGAACAGCCAGTTTCTTTGGCAATGAATGTTTGTGGCTTACCCTCCTTGTGAAGGGTGTCGATGATTGTCTTCTGGACAACTGTCAGATCAGCCATCTTCCCCATGATTGTGTAGCCTAGTGAGCCAACCTGAGTGACCATTTTGAAGGCTCAGGACACCTTTGCAGGTGTTTTGAGTTGACTAGCTGAGTGGCATGTCACCATATTCTAATTTGAGATAGTGATTTGGTGGGTCTTTTTAAATGTGAGCAAAATCATCACAATTAAAAGACCCAACGGCTTAATTTATTGAGATGCACCTGTACATGCAAGTGAAGGTCTGACTGAAGAACACTGCTATTCAGCTGCCACACAGCATTGCAAGCTATAATGTATACGTAGCCAATGGAGAATACAAATAATGATCAAACATCAAAATTTTTATAAATTTGGCGTAAACCACCAGTTGTATTGAATGATCTGCGATATATTGCTGAACTGAGAGTGGAGGACAGTTTTATCCACATGTCAGCATGTAAATGTACCATTACTATGTGTTGATTTCAGTGTGTTATACCACTGGTTGGCCAGTGCTGGAAGACCTGCATAGTAATAAGAACAACATCAACAAAAATAAATTTAGTAAAAACTGTGATGTTGATCTCTGACAAGACCAGGCAAGTGTTGTAGTGTTTGTTTCTGCTGGAGTGTAGAAGTAATGGTGCTGAGGCAAGCAGAGAGATGGGAAGAATGTAGGAAAATTGGACACTGCTAATAAACCTGAAACTATGCATTCCACAACCTTTTTTGATGCCATGGATGGAACATTTTGGGACCGCTGTTGGAGAAATTAGAATAAGGCAGCAATGCAGTGGATGAACCTTACTACTGATGGGACGTCCTGTTTCCAGCCCTGTCCTGCAAGTGTGAAGGAACCCTCAGAAGGATGTGCAGGATGAGCGAATCATAATCGCCATGAGTCATGAATGCACATGCGTGTTGTGGTGGGTTAGTTACCCGAGTGTTTAATTTAGCATAACATTTTTGCAAATATTACTAAGGCTAGGATATGGCTACATGCTTTGGGAATAAACTACCACTAATTTAAGGTTGACAGATGTTGACCTGCTTTGTTTGGATCAGCTGGTGCTGATATAGCAAATGCAAACAACTTGTTGATATTATGCCATGATAATGGTGATGCTGTCCTTGATGCATTGAAGCTTTGTACCTGTTGAAGGACTACCCTCTTCCAAGTCTGCATTTGAAGTTTGTATATATAAATATATGATGGAAAAGGCCCCCCAAATGAATCATGGCAGTGTTTAAATCGTCAGTCTGGGTGTTATTATTCACTTCAGTGTTTGAATAAGTGGAAATACAAGGTGGAAAACCTGGAAGATTTTTGACCTACCATTGTGTTTTGCAGTGCTTGAATGCAGCATTAGTGTGGATGCAGTGTTAATGTTGACTTTAACGACAGGGTCATGAACACAGTGGATATGTTGAATCCTTTGTGGATTTTTGTGTTCCGAGAGGTGATGCACATATTAGTTTTCCAAAGGCTGCAATTTTATTGGCTGTGGTGTTGTGTTAAACAGGTAGACTTTATATCATTTGTAAGATGTAATGTTTGATATGATTTTGTTTGTGATAGGATTTGGAGTTCACATTTTGTTGCTTTAGCTGCTACTTCAACAAAAAGGTAGATGCTATATGTTGATGATTTAAAGTGGCTGTTGTGGACATTGATTGTAATGGTGTCCTTAGTCTGTGATGTCCTTTACCTCACATTGCTATTCTGGTTCAGTGGTGCTATACTGGACTATCAGGAAACTGACACTGAGAGCTAGAGAAGCTCTGTTGGCAATAATGCTATTCTATACCCTTCTGTTTGCAGGTGCTGTTGTTTGTGCTTCAGCATGGCTGTCGTCATCCGTTTACAGGGACTGAGAGTCACAGCAGGTACTGAGGATATTCGGAAGCTCTTCACTGGCCTCAAAATTCCGGATGGAGGTGTGCATATAATTGGTGGGGAGCGAGAGGAAGCGTTCATTATCTTTGCTTCAGATGAAGATGCAAGAAGAGCCATGACGCGGTCAGGGGGCTGTATTAAGGGTTCACCTGTTACATTGCTACTGAGTAGTAAAGCAGAGATGCAGAATATGCTTGAAAGAAGTACAAAAAATGTTGAGCTGGATCAAAAGAGGCATTTTAAGGAAATTGCAAGAGGTGCTAGAAGATCTCTGCACCCTGAGGCAGGCAGGGGATCAGGTAGCATATCGTATCACACTAATGATGACTTCTTTGGTGTGTTTCTCAAAGGAATGCCTTTCTCTGTGACTGAAAAGGATGTACGTGATTTTTTCAGTGGTTTATCAGTTGATGACATAATCTTGAGGAAAAATAAACATGGTGCAAATAATGGGACAGGTCTTGTCAAATTTCAAACAAGAGAGGATGTAATTGAAGCCCTGAAAAGGGATAGGAGATACATTGGGTCAAGGTATGTTGAGATTTCCACGACAACAGCAGATGATTGGCATCGGGTTGCTAGTAGAGTGCCGATTGTCAGCAGGGACAACAGCTTTAAAAGGGAGAGGTCACCTCTGCGCAATACAAGGAATCCACAACATGTGAGGTCACAGTCGCCTTTGGCCCAGAGGTCCATGCCTCATTCTGATGAAGAGTACTGTGTTTTGTTGGACAATCTATCCTATGCTGTGGAAAAAGAAGACATAAAAAGGCTTTTTTTATCCGCAAAGCTTCAGGACGACCAGATCCTGCACTTAATTGGCAGGGATGGGAAAAGAACCAGGTCTGCATTTGTGCTGTTCAAGAGTCTCCATGACTATTGCGATGCCTTGGCTGCTGAAAAAAAACAATTTTTCAACCGATTGCTTTATGTCCGCCCAATCTCAAGAGAGAACATGATCATCCTTCTGGAGTCTCAGAGTACGGATGTCCGAACACCTCAAAATTCTAAAGGGTTTCAGGACGGGCCTCCATCTTACCCCAGTGATCTTTACGACTCTGGGAAAACTTGTCTGTCTGTGTGGAACCTGCCATTTGATGTACGGAAAGTTGAGATCATGGACTTCTTCTGTGGGTTTAATATCACTGAGGACAAGGTGTTCTTGTTGCGTGACCATGAAGGTGCTGGGGTTGGAAAGGCTTTGGTTCTCTTTCAGTCTGAGGCAGAGGCTATGGGGGCACTCTCTCTCAGTGGACGACGGTTTCTTGGGTCTGAAGTGATACTGAAATGCATTTCACGTTCTGAGATTCAGCAGTTGGTTAATGAGTCAACAATGGGCCAAGAGCCAGCTGAGCAGGCATCACTGTCACGAGAGGAGAGGTACTTTGGCAGCAGCAGTGGGGCATCCTATCACCCTGGTGACACTGAGTACTCAGACTTAAGGATTTCTCATGACTGCAATACACCAGTAATTGGTATTAAGAAAAATGCCCATGGAGCCCGTGGGTATAAACCTTATGGAATAGACCCTTGTGCTTCACACGACAGGGGTAATGGCGTTCATGGCAGTTTTGGTGGCTCAGTGCAGCATTTTGATGGTGTCACCTGTGTAAAATTGGTCAACTTACCATTCCAAATCAGAAATGAAGAAATCTATGATTTCTTCTATGGATATTGCATTATCCCAGGATCTGTCACACTGCAGTATGACCAGGGTGGTAAACCTAAAGGCTCTGCAACTGTAGTATTTGAGTCTCACCAGGAGGCAATGACAGCTATTGCAGAACTGAGTGGAAGAGCAATAGGCCCAAGAAAAATACAGCTACTCCTTGTGTGAAACTGACATTGGTTTTCATGGTACCTAAGGTACCCTAGCAGTGTGGTTTGGATGCAGTGTTGATTGAAACAAAGTTTATTTAAGGGAAGCAACTGCCTTTTCCTTCTTTCTGATTATTGAATACAGTGATTTTAGTTATAGTTTTTTTTATCTAACTACATTTCATCTTACTGTGATGAGACAATATAGTTTGTTTTGTATACAGTGGAATTGTTTGTTTTTCCCATTGAAATGTTTTTGTTTAATTCATCTTGCAGCACTGAAAAATGTATGTACATTTATTTCACAGTGTGTTTGTATTGGTGTATAAAGTTGAAACCGTTGTTTTAGAAAAGCATCTTTAAACTGTCAGTTTTTCTACACAGATCACAGAGTACAAACAAGTGCTGACATAAACCTGTAAATAAAGTGCTGTTTAACCACCAGTTAAAAGAAATCCATTACTGACTGAACTACACTTGAGTGCTTTTATGTGTTCATGATTGAATAATAAGTTGGGGTATATACACTATGTTTTTATAAAAAGGCTTTTAAAATAAGAGCAGTAGGGGGATGAAGGCTGACCACTTTGAAAAAATGTGTTTCTAATGGCAGGCTAATCTCACTTCCTCACATAGGAAAATGCTTCAAAGCCAGCAGCAGGTGTAGCATTCATCTGGCCTGACTGAAAATCAAATTTAGACCAGGACATGTATCATTATTTCTCACGTTTGGCTGTAGAACAGAGGTTTAAAATGTCATACCAAATTGTACACATTCCCAATTTCAGTTTCATTGTAGCAGCCCCTGATAAATCAACACCACTTGGATTTAAAAACAACAAGCTTTAAAAAATTCACTCCACACCAGATACCTCAGCTCTCTGCTGAAAAGCTGTATATAAAGTTATATCACCATCATGAAGCTACTATTTGTTGCAGGACTTTTTCATCAAACTAGTTTTGGCTAGTCGTGGTTTATAGCAGTTTATTAAGTACAAGTCTGCATATTTGGCAGCGGTTGTAAGATATCCTATATGGTCTGAATTTGCATGCTCCAAAATAATTTTATTTTGTAACGTCTCTACCGGAAATGGTTTAGCTTGGAGCAGCAGGACAGGTGAGGTGAAATCCGGTAGTCAGAAAGCTACGCTGAAGGAAATCATTAACTTTGCAGGTGAATAATTAAACATAGTATGACTTTTTGACGATTTATATGTAAAAGCGAGATGATGATGAAGACTCGACTTTTTTTTTTTGTTTTTAGCTCTTTGGCAAATGATGCTAGCTAGGAAGATGGTCTCAGAGTTAAACTTGTGCATCGTCACGTTGCATTTGCATAAGTTAATGTTACCTTCTTACGGTGTTATTTTGCTGCATTAATGGGAAACTTTGTATGAGCTTTGGATACAGTTCAAATTGTGAACTAATCAGTGATTTGTAAAGTCGCTAACGTTGGCTGTAGCGGCTTGTCGCCATGGTGCATGAAACGTTACAATGGATAACACGACTCGTCCAACTGTGTTCCTAAATTGCTTCTTTAGTTAACTAGAAAAAGTTGTCGAAACTGCCCTGTTCTGCCAGTATTCACAGATTATTAATTAAAGTCGGTTGCCTAATAGTCAACCATTAAAGTTAAGATAACAGCAGTATAAGTCATTTCTGTACGTTATAAAATCCACAGTTTTGTAACGGTTGTATTTTTAAGCATTTTAGTTTGCCTATGGAAACTTGACAGTACTGTCAATTTATGTAGGATACCTGTGATAGGTGAATACTTTTGTCTATTGCATAACTGCTGTGAAATGGGTAAGATGGGTTGAAGCCTGACAAATAACTAAATAGTAATTTCTCAGATTCCTTTGAGTGAAGGAGTTGTATGTTTTTCTGTTATGCAGTCGGTGACTTTGGTCCACCCCACGCCCTCTAGCGGTTTGCAAGCCCCACTTTGGAAAGAACAGAAAAGTAATGTATCAAAACATTAGTATTGTCTGGTTTTATTAATATGGCACTGCTCAGTATAAATATAGTATGCTGGGTACGCATTGTAGACTGTATAGTAGGCCTAAAACACATTTAAACCATTCTGACACCAGAATGGAGGTATCAAGGAGAAGAATCCTCCAAAAGCACCTGGAGCCAGCAAGACCTCTGCGCCGCTTCATCCATACTCAGATTGGTAAGCAATATGTAGCTTTTGTCCAGTGTACAAGATCAAAGATGTTAGTTTAAAAACTGTGTTCATATAAGAATTCTATCTCTTCATTTAGAGCCCAAAATAAATGGTGCTACATGTGCACAGGCACTGATGAATGAAGTGGATCAAGAGGTAAGCAGTGTCAAATCATCACATTTCAGAACTTGAAATCAGACAGCTTTGTATTTCTGCTTAACATAAAGATGCCAATTATGAAAAGTGTTGATGCATTTTCTTTGAAACAGCTAACCAGTTCAGCATTATAACTGTTCAGTGTTTCATCCATTTAGTTGATGAACCATTTGGCTGCTAGGCAGGTGATTTATACAAAATACAACCTTCTTATTTTGTGCTTGATAGACAAATGTTGGTATAGAGCAGTTCTTGAAGCTTGTCAGTCTGCACAAACAGAAAGAAGGTAAGGCCAAAAGTGTTTTCTGTGACATGCTGGCAAATATATGCATTTCTGCTCATGAGGACTTGTAATGTTTATGTTTACTTAATGTGTTTACTCCCCCCCAAATACTTGTTTACAATATTAGTGTATGTGGTGGTGCTTGTATTAACAGAATACTAAACCTAGCTGCAAACATTGATTTGAATGTATATTTTTGTAGAGAGAATATCCTATACAAGGGAGTTTTTAATTGAACTGGCGAGATGTCCTGAGGCCAGTAAGAAGCCTTGTTTCTTGCCAGACCATCCAGTAGTCTTAAACAAGGCAGTAAGTTGGGTATTTGTACTAAATGTTATAGTGGTATCATCACTAAATGTCAGAATAATACTAACGCTGTTGATTGGATTGAATTTGTTTTTTTTTACTATATCAACAGAGAGATCCTGGCCACATAGGGCTTCATGAAATGATGTGGAACGGTGGGAAAAAAGAAATGTGAGTTTAATCTTATTGTCTGAACTCACTTTGACTTTATCATGTCCCTTTCATGCGGTAGCAGTTTAGACAATATAGATTATGATTTGAATGGAATGCAGATTAGTATTTAAAAGCAAATTAGTAGTTCACATTCATATAAAACTACATTTTTACATGAATTAGCCTTAATTACTGGTTGCTTTTATTATTGTGTTATTGTCATATTTTTTTCTTCTGGTTTTAGGGTGACAAAAAGCTTTTTCTCAGATTAACCCAACGAGTGTTTAGTTTTCTTTTTCCTGTTGTTTTTTTGTATTGCATTTAATTTGTGTCATTTTTGTTTGCAGTGAAGTTGGACAAATGCATGACCACTTTAGTTGTACATGTTTTTTTTTTTTGTTTTTTTTTTGCTGTGTAATGCTTTGGGTACAGTGAAGTATTTATGGTATAAAATGAATGCTATGTTATGTATATTCATAATATTTACTGTATAAATAAAATTTACTGCACTGGCGTCATAAAACAAAACTTGACATTGATCAGATTGATGTTTGTCATCAGCTGAATTAGCTGCGGGTACATCAGCATTGGGATTTAACAATGTTTTTTTGTATTTTTCAGATGATTGTTTTTGGTTTTCTGGCCCATGACTCCACTTTTATCCTTGTATGCAGTCTCAGCCAGCAGCTGTTTTCAGTGAAAAAGCTGTAGTAAACCCACAGTATGTTACCTGCCCAGTCCCGAAGAGATTACTAAAGGTTGCAAATAGCTGGTGAACATAGTGGAGCAATAAGTAGCTAAAGAGATAATTTTTCTGTCATGGTTTGTGGTAAACTAAAACAGAGCTTACGAGGGGATGAATAGTGGACTTGTATCCATCAAGTGGAGTGATCACTGTCATGGTGCTGTGTAGCTGTTGTGTAACTAGTTGGTTAAAACACATACACAAATAAAAAATTAAATGAAGCTTTAATGGTGCAGTATCAAACCATGTATTTTAATTTCCACATACATTTCACATTTTACCCTTCATTATGAGCCAATATGTCCATGTTAAAGCTTTTTCTTTCACCTTTTTATTAAGCAGAGTCATGACATATCCTTATTTCTACATCGTATTTTCTCAGGTTAAGCAAACAGTGGCTGACTCAGTTGGTTTCATCAGAGTCCTAACTGCCATTCTGTCAGTCTCACTAACAGACTCTACTTAGACTCAATGAATTATGAGCGTTGACTCGTCCTCCCAAATCAAGGAGTATGGTATCATCATAAATGAGAGTGAAGGCGAGTCACAAGGTCACCAGTTTGGGGTGAATATTCAGTTAAGATCTTGTACACCGTTCTCACAGAAATACTTGAATTTACTTATGGAACAAATCAGCTATGTCTGGAAAGGAGCATGAGGAGTAATTTCTGGCCGATCACTCCAGAAACACTGGCCTGAGCTGTTATTTTGATGAGTCTGAGGATTAGAGTCTTACATAAACTTAACAGAATTCTTTTTTTTCTTGCCTTCCATAGACATTAATGTTAGTTATGACTTTAGGCTTTCAGGACAGAGTGGCTTGGACTTCATCCATCACTTTTCTGCTGCTTATCTGCACAGGGTATGAGACAATGGGCATTCATTACAATATTACAAATAGCTTTAATTCTTACACTTAATTGATCTACACTACAAAAACCCTGAAAAATGAAATGTTATGAGGCTGCCTGGAATCATTTGGTAACGGGGGATATTTTCATGACGTCCTGTGGTTTCCTCTGGTGAAATAAGCAGCTGTGGTAACCGCACATCTTCTTTGGTACGTGACCGAGGCGCAGTAGCCTACATCCCATGAGTATGCTTTCAGGTTAGCTGGACACTTGTGACGTGCTGGACGTCACGTCAGGGGGGCGGGGCCTTCAGTGTTCACCGTGTCGATGTTAGACGGCAAAATTAATTTGTTAGGAACAGAGGAGCAGCGAGTGTAAAGGGCTTCGTTCCAAAGGCAAGTATGTAGCTCATCTGTTTGTATTGTATTGTATTGTATTGTAGCTTTTTGGCTTTGACTGTCACGTGGGCTTATCTTGACAATGGAGTTCATTGTCTCTTTTTTTCCCCGCTGTAAGTGATAAAGTGCTTTATGTAACGCGGTGCTGTACTATGAGGTGTTCATAATATGTCTAGGTATTAATTATGCGACTCTGAATTGTATTGAGTTTTACATTAAACCAATTCCGCACCGCATTAAGCATTCATTCCATAGTAAATGCAGCTTAATAACATTCCGATGTGTTCGAAGGTGGTGGTCAGTGAATTGTTTTCGGACGCGGCTGTTTGCGGGAAGATGGATTCAAAGGTTGACCAAAGAAGCCTGTCATGCAGCAGGTGAGTTCCAACACAATAAATGTACTAATGTTGACTTAAACGGAACCTTATCACAAAGTATGCTAAGGTAAATCTTTATATGAAGAAGCTACAGGGTGTGTCAAGTTATTAAGTTCCTTGACCTTTTCCTGAGAGTCCAGGCGGAAATAGTATTATAATGAGAACTTTTTTTTCTTTACATGAATAATTTAACATTCGGGTCGTTAGTTAAACATACAGAAAATGGTAGCCCTGAAGCCTATACAGTAAGTGGCTGATTTTCATTTGACTTTCATGTTGAATCCATCTATACATTTTACCTTTACCTCCTATTAAAGGAACATTTCGCCTCAATCACAAAACATACACGTTTGACTTGACACAGTTTCCCCAAATCGATCAATCTATCTAACTGTTGTCTGTCGATAATGTACTTTGTGTGTGTGTGTGTGTGTGTGTGTCTGCCCTGACACAGTTTAGGAAAATGAAAATTTTGTTGTGTTGGTTTACTGCCATGAGTGTCACAAAGGAAATTTCAACTTGGGTGCTGACAAAGACTTAAACAGACAAGTGTTTCAAAACCAACGCATTTGCATGGCTATTTCACTAAGTGAGAAAAACATTTTTTATTTTATTTTATTTATATATTTAAATTTAGGCTAGTTGAACTGACCTAGCCTGTATCCTGGCCTTTGAATCACTACCCAGATCTCTGATTCGTTCAGTGAAAGAGCAAATGAAACGAAACAAAATGGTAGTTTGGTCTGATTATCAGGCCAAAACTGACATTTAATATCTGTTCTTTTCTCTCTTTAAGCCCTGTTTATGTGCACAACCCACATCTGGATGTACTCAAAGAGGACATCCTGTACCACTTAGGTTTAGGAACTGCAACGCATGACCTACAAGCTATGTTTGGTGATGTCAAAGTAATTATCTTTATGATATTTATTTGTGAAAAAATATCCCCTATTTTATCATCATCAATTAGTATAGCAAATATTAAGGAATTTTTTGTGTGTGTTTTCTTTCAGTTTGTTTGTGTCGGTGGCAGTGCCTGGAGAATGAAATCATTCATTGAGTATATTGCTGCTGAGCTCGGTATGGAAGATCCCAAATCAGAGTACCCGAATATCTGTGACGGAACTGACCGCTATGCTATGTACAAAGTTGGCCCTGTACTGTCTGTCAGTGTATGTAAGAGCAAAAGTCTCGACTTTGTTTTCTTTTTTATAAACAAGTACTATACTGATAATACAAAAGTCAATCTGTTGTGTACTGTCCCTAAAATTTGTTATACTGTAAATGTTTGTACCTTATTTTTTAGCATGGGATGGGCATCCCATCTATTGCCATAATGTTGCATGAGCTAATAAAGCTCCTTCATCATGCACGTTGCACAGATGTTACAATTATACGCATTGGGACATCTGGTGGAATAGGTACGTTTCCTTTTATTTTTATAATCTAGATGCCTGATCTGATTACATCTGATTGTATCTGCTTCATTATCACATTGGTAATTCTGCTAACACATCAGGGATGCTAGTCTCTTTGTGATTCTGTAGCTATACTCAGTACATTTTAAATGGAAGCTTTCTCTACTTTCAGTCTCAAAGTGATCATCTCATTTACCATTTTTGGTTTTCAGGGCTTGAGCCTGGCACTGTTGTTGTCACCAAACAGTCTATGGATGCCACTTTCCTGCCCAGGTTTGAGCAGGTGATCCTGGGGAAGACTGTGGTATACAATACTGATCTGGACCAAAGCCTGGCTGAAGAGCTTTTGCAGTGCAGCAAGGAGCTGAGCCAGTTTGAGACAGTGTTAGGCAACACCATGTGTAGTCTAGATTTCTACGAGGGTATGAGTCATATATGTGTTAATCACATTAATCACAGATATGTACAGAGGTTCAGTTGTAATGCCCATTTTTGTTCTCTGTCTTATCAATCACCCAGGACAAGCCCGTTTGGACGGTGCTTTCTGCTCCTACACTGAGAAGGATAAACAGGACTACCTCATTAAAGCCAGTGAAGCAGGAGTCTGCAATATTGAAATGGAGTCATCAGTTTTTGCTGCTATGTGCAAGCTGAGTGGCCTGCGAGGTAAGAGAATACACTGTCATCATTATACTATAGCTGGGAAATTTCTCTGCATCTCAAAATACAATGTTGTCTTTGCACTTTGTTGAGTATCTAACATTCATTTCTTATGTAAAGCTGCTGTGGTTTGTGTGACGTTACTGGATCGGCTGAAGGGGGACCAGCTGACCGGCTCTCATGAAGTTCTTCACAAATTCCAGGAATATCCTCAGAAACTCGTTGGCTACTATATTAAGAGGCAGCTGAAGGCTAAAGCAGGAGGTAGCTAATTGTAACAGTCATTACACTGGTGTGCAAGCCTACATCACACAAGCTCTTAAAACGCGAGACACCAAAAACCTGGTGCAGTTCAATGACTCCACTTTAAATTGTTTTTTTTTTTTGTGTTAATGTTTTCCTTTTAATCAGGTGCCATACCTTTTAATATGCACACAACATCCACTGAATTTTGACATTTTTGCACTTTTTTTTGATTGATTCCACTGTAATGATAAATTGTCATGTACTGTTTTTTTCCTCATGTATTTTAACTTTAATACAGTCTAACTGAGAATTAAATGTAATAGTTTATGGTGAACAAATATGTCTTAGCCTTAACTAAGGCTGCCTTTTGTTTTATACAATGTTCAAAGTTATCTGTCAAACTTGAACCGATGATTGATAAGTCTAGGCTTACAACTGTTTCACAGCAGACATTTTGGCTCATCATAACAGGAGAAACAGGTGTAAGTGAGACTATAAATGTGAATTTAAGCAGGCTAATTCCAGGACACTGGTTTCCACACACTAGCTTACTGCCATGACTTACTGGGACACTTGATGAAACTGAGTTACTTGAAACTTGCTTCATTTGTGCTGTGAAAAATATCTCTGCAATGAAAATATTTTATAGCAAATATATTGTGTTGTTTATTAGGATTAGGTTTCTGTAATCTTTGTATATTTCTTTGAGAATGTCACAAATTTTGACGGAAATAAATATCCACTAAATGTCTTATTGCAAATAAAGCCTCATGTAATCTGAAGTTTTTGTCTTACACCCTGGCCTATTAGAGTAGCACAAGTTAACAACAGCTCTGATGATGAATAACATCCTAACAACATCCTTGATAGGAATAATGAAGTTAACATTTGAATCATTCACTTGGCTTATAACTACAGATATAATTTCTTCCTTTAATCTTATATCACTCAAAAACATGTATCCTATACTTATGTGAAACTTTCAGATAATTAGTATTTGAATTACTATTGAATCTGGTGTCACAGGGTTAATTTGAATTCCCACAATTGTACTCTTTGTAGGCTAATACTGATGTTAGATGCTGAACCAAACTGTTAAAAATAAATTGGACAGTCTGACTATAGCAAGGCTCATTATTATTTTTAACAGGTATAGTTCACAGCAATAGGCCACTGTTTTCTTACTAACCCATTTCATTAGCAATGACGGGGTCTATACAATATCTTTATCAGCTTTATTTGTCTGTACTTTAACTGCCAGCTTTAAATAGGCTCATAGATACCGTGGATGCTGGAAACCGCTGTGCACGTCAGAGGGCAGAGGAGGGCCTTGCTGCGCGCTCCCGTGCGTGCCCACCCCCGATCTGTTCGCTGACTCAGTGCCTTAAGCAGCATCAACGTTCACCTGAGCAGAGCTACAGCATCTTCCGAGAAGAAATACACCAACCATGTCTAAAACAGCAACCGGTAAGCAATGTTTAGACCTGTTCAGACTGCTCCTGTTAAAACCCATGAATGTGACGGACACATCCTTTCTGTGTAGAGCCTGTGTCAGTCCCGTGTAGTCTACCGGCTGGTGGTCATCTGTCAGGACGTCGCTGAGAAATGTTCTCTTTTGTGTGATTAACTAAAATTAGGCCATTCACCTTGATATTTCTCTAAAGTCTATGGGCCTATTGTCTCTTCACGAGAGTGCGGTAATGATAGCAAGCATCCTCCGTCATTAGGCTCCTGAAATGTCTCCTGTAGTATTATCATCTATGTAAGTGTGTTCACATTTTCCTCTTTTGCCTTGATCTAACGTAGCAGTTGATAAGTAGGCAATATGGATTAGCCCTAGACAGCTTTATTTACAAGGCTGCACCTGCGCTCCATGATACAGCGGCCCCAACATGCAGCATAATGCAGACGGACCCCACCCAAGATGCTGGGTTGCCGACCATTTAGCCGACAGTGAAACTGGGAGGGCTTCATCAGTCTGACATTTATATTACCTTGCTATAATTAAACCGAAACAGCTCCAACGTGTCATTTAAAAGCGTTTCACTAACCTGAGCATGACTGTTTTAATCCGCTGATTTATTTGCGATTGCTCCTTTTATTTATCTCTCTACCTTTCTCCATTTGCCATAGCAGTATCACCACTCGTGACAGATGGGCTGCAATTCATTTTTTAAATAAACAAACACACTTTTGGCAAATATACAAATGAAAATTCCAGACAATTAGGCCTTATATAGACCCTTATTCTAACAGATACAAACTAGGCTGTGTCCTGCATTAGTCATCCCCTCTGATGGACAGTTATTGTTGTAGGCCAAGTATTTAGCATATTTGTTTTCATGGATTTGTTTAGCCTCTGTATGCATATCTTAAAAAATCACAATATGGCAGGTTAATGTAAGCAAATGGTTTGGCCATTTTAAATGCAATATGTTGTAGCGACAGGCTTCATTGTGGTGTGTGTGGTGGCAGAAATGTAGCAGAGAAGACAGGTGCATGGCGAGGTGGGAGGCCGGCCAGCCCTGCAGCAAGGGGATGCTCCACACACTGGCCTTTGCAGCAGAAGGCTTAGCAGCACTGAGAATCTGTATAAAGAGCCCCAGGGGCACTTTGTTCATGAGAAGAGGGGAAAAGTGACTGAATTTGTAGATACATTTAAAAATTGTCCAAGAAACCGGTAAAAACGCACAGTTTCCCAGATCTTAGCACACTGATTTATTGATTGAAATGAACAATGTCTTATTATAGCATCCAATAAAGTAAGAGCAATGCTTGTTTGATCTTAGTTTGATGACCCTTACAGAACGCATTTATTCAATGAATTACTAAGCAGCACAGCATTGACATTATGTACATTTTAGACTCTCAAAACACAGTGGTCATTTAACTGGGTTGTTGAATCATTTTCCTTTATGAACTTATAATATATGAATTTAGAAATATCTAAACTTTGATTCCTTGACATTGTTTATTGGACAGGGAGGTAATATTAACTGAGTATTAATAAGTCTCTTTCACTGTTTTCATGAGTAACATGGAGAGACTCACCTGGATGCTATGTCATGTCTTTATGTACCTACAGCATACAAAGAAAAGATGAAGGAGTTGTCCGTCCTCTCCCTCATCTGCTCCTGCTTCTACCCAGAGCCACGCAACAAGCTTATGTGCGAGTTTGAAGGTAGGATATGGATCAGCTCAAACAGATTTCGTTTTGAATGAAATAAATTGCCCCCATGGCTGTTCTATGTGCCTTGTAAATACAGACTAAGCAATAATGACATATTATCAGACAGATATGTTATACTACTGGACATTGATTTTACTGGTATTATTTTTGTGACTATGTGATTCACAGACATGGAGGTGAAGCCTATAAACAAGCGAGCCTCGGGCCAGGCCTTTGAGGTGATTCTCAAGCCTTTGTCTCCGGTGTCAGATATAGCACACAACCACCCCTCACCCCCCAAGAGGGATATCTCTTTGGAGGACATTGAGAAGAAACTGGAGGCTGCTGAAGAACGGAGGAAGGTGAATGTTTCACTTATTTAAATGGTACTGGCTGTTATAAATGGATAAAAAAACATATATACCTCAGTGTACTGTTTTTGATGTGCATATTTAGTACCAGGAGGCCCAGGTGCTGAGGGTGTTGGCAGAAAAGCGAGAGCATGAGAGGGATGTGTTGCTAAAGGCAATGGAGGAGAACAGCAACTTCAGCAAGATGGCTGAGGAGAAGCTCCTGATGAAGATGGAGCAGATCAAGGAGAACCGTGAAGCCCATCTGGCAGCCATGATTGAGCGTCTACAGGTGAAGGTGAGAAATGCTAAACTCTAAGTCATCTCCTGCAGAAACAAAAGCCTGAGTTCGCTGTGTTGACCAGAGAATGACTGAGTCCTGTTGAGTGATTACTCTCACTGCTCTGTGTTGTTCTGTATTTTTCAGGAGAAACATGCAGCTGTTGTGCGCAGGAACAAAGAGCTGAGGGAAGAGCTGACGCCATGAGTTTCACACGTCTTGAATTCTATGGTCCATCTACATCCCACCATCCAGTCCTGACCCATCCTTGCCCCTGCCCTCACTCTGTCTGGAGGCTGAGAGGTTTGAGGACCTCCCCATCACAACACACCACACCACCAGTGCTCACAACTATAAGTATTATCAGTGGATACAAACATGGATTTGATTATTTTAGAGAAAATGCAAGTATGTGGCTATTATTTTGTAAATGCCTGTTCCTCTCCCCTTCTCTCTCTCTCTCTCTCTCTCTCTCTCTCTATCTATCTATCTATCTATCTATCTATCTGTCTATCTATGATGGTAAGTGAAGTACATACAAAGATTGTACTGTACTGCACCGTACAATTTCACACATTTTGTTCATCACTGATTACTGCTTCGGTTTTTGAAATTTGGCTTTACAGCTATTTTCTTGTTGGTGTTTCTTGATGATGCCATGATGTTTCTGTGTTTTTGTGAAGAATCACAATTGGTGTACCTAGAGTCCTCAAGATAACAGCATATCCCATCTGTATCTTCCTCACGCACACCTTCTCATTCTCAACATGTACACTTGGAACTTAAAAATACGCCAAACCCACAGATTCATAAAGCATCTGCTCCCTCTGAAATGAGCTTGGTAATGAACTTGATAGGTGCTTTGTTGTTATTAAGAATGTCTTTGCCCAAGACATGGCAGATTCCCACTTACCCTGTCCAATGCCATTTCTCTATGACTCTATCTTTAGTCTATTCAAAAGCTCTGTTACGTGCACAGTATTTGGGGATTAATCTGTTGAATGTTATGCCACCATCCTGGTACCATGCATAGTGTCTTGGTCAGTGGAATGTGCTGTTGCTCCCACCTTGATATTGATAGTGAGAACATAACGTATGTCTGTGTGGGTGTGTGCGTGACTGCGAGTTTACCGTGAGGCATCATTAGCATCTGCTCTCTTTAGGGGATTAGAGAATGGATGCAGGATGCTTTACTTCAGCACACTGAACTAGTCTCTTTTTAATATATCTGATATCTGCCTGCATCTTCTGCTGCTTGTGTTTCTCCTTCATATATTTCTCTGTGAAAGCTTTGCTGAATAAAGATTTGGGGTTCTGTGAACATGGCATGTACTATCTAATAATTTTCTGTGCTAAAAGAGGAAGGAAAATGTAAACTGCCAAATAAAAGAACCAGTTATCTACACATCCTGACAATCACTGACAACCATAGTCTTCCCCAGTTGATTTTTCACGTTCTAGTCTAATGTTAATTCATCTGAAAATTTAATTTTGGTATAATTCAAAATATACTTGGGCTTACGGCTTGAGGGTAAGACTCATATATATTCAACATAAAACAAATCTAAAATGAGCCATGAGGCATGTAGAAGACAATCAAAAAAGTGCCACATTGCTCCACTAGATGGCAGTGGCAGATTTGTTTAGACCAAAGAAGTCAAGTTGGAGCCCACACCCCTCCCAAGGTAGGCTAAAAGCTTGGAATATGCCTAATGCAAATTCAGAAAAAAATAAAAGAACATAAAGGCTATTCTGCTAGGTCATTTATGTCTCTTTGTGTGTGAGAATCATGAGGATTTGAACCAGGACACCAGACGCAGACATTTCTGCATCTTGGGTTTAAATTTCTTGATTTTTTTGGTCCCCAAACGAAAGCAGTACTCTTATTTTATTATTAATAGCATGTGGCTTAAGCCCTCAGGGTAAATCACAGGCAGCAGCTGCCCCTTGTGGAGCACAGAGGTGCAGCATTGATGGGTAAACCAATTTTTTCTCCATAGCTTTGCCTTAATTCTCAAATGACAGTTAAAGAACATTGACGTTCTCCACAACATTTGGTTTCTTCTGTAAAAAACACACAAAAACCCCCTGAATTTCTCATTCTTTTCTTACAAACAGCAATTGTATAACATTTCTGCAAATGATTAAGTACAGTTGGCTACAATTTCAACAATTTATCAATTGTCCTTTTGGTCAAAATGGTTTAGTTGCTTCTTAGTTAAACAGTCTTGAATTCCAAAACAGTTAAGAGTTATTTCACTGATCATGTCATCACATACACATTAGTTCATGCACGTGTTATATATGCCAGGGCCTCAACTATTTTGAATTCCACACCCCTTCACCTGAATTTTTACTGCATAAAAATAAATACAGTAAGTTACAGTGTACAGAAGGTGAGGGGGTATGAATAGTTTCCAAAGTAACTGTATATACTGTATATTCAGCTAAATTAATAAATTGGTTTTCAGGTGAAACTTGAATGTCACTTATGGGGAGCGTCCCACATCATCCAAGGATGTTGAGAAAGTTCCTAGCACCATGCTCTCCACTCTTGAATTCAGCTGAAGATTTTTTTGTTCTGCATGGAGGTGAAAGTACATGATCATGCACCATTAGACCATATGACATTGCTGGATGCCATGAATGCTGCATGTGAGGACATCACAGCAGAAGCATGCAGGGGATGGATATAACACACAGGATGATTCTTCCCCTGCTGTATTGCCAGGGTGGTGTGAGGTGGATCAAAACCTGTGGCCAAACAGTCAGGAGCCACACAATGCTCTGTGACTCCATTGTTTGATTTAGTACTTCAGTTTTGTATACTGTGTTGGTCTATTGTACTGTGTTGAATTTAGATATTACAGGAAAATAAAACAGTTTCCACACATTACTGCAAACGTAAGTGCTCCACTATCCCATTGCCAAAACATCGAAACATTTGAGAACCTTAACTTACACAGTGCTAATGGAACATTTTATTTTGATAGGGCTGACACAAGGATTTACCTTTGAAACATAAGCTACAGGTTTTGGGTGAAATATATCCTTTTGCTGATGAACCATACATAGTGTTTTGCTATATGTATAAACAGTTCTGAAAAATGCACACTAAGCTTTGACGATGAAATGATGAACCTGTAAAAGATCTGTCACCAAGCATGGACTAGAAACACCTTAGAGCTGAGCAGTGATTTACTAGTTTAGTTATCTGATTGTTGTTGTTGCTTTTTAACTGCTTTCCTCCAATGTCCACATCCTGTTCACACTATTGTCTCCGTTTCAGACCACCCCAGGCTGGTGAGGTCAGGGCAACATTGTAAAGGATTTCCTGTGGCTCTTAATGATTTCCTGGGTATTCATAAGGGCAACAATGCTCTCAGATTCGGTTACTTACCTGGCAGTAAAAGAACTGCCTTTCAGTCAATAAATGGGACCTTATTACGTCATGATTAAGTTCTACAGGATTGCAACAAAAAAGCGCCTGCAGATGATATGTCATTTGGTAAGACAGGGTCTTAGTCACATGGAGGGCAGCTAATCTGTGTAGGAGTTAAATTGCCACGTTACACATGACGAAAACAGAATATAACAAAACCTTAAAGGACCAAATGTAACAGAAATAAATACTTTGATTTAAATCTATGTTTTGTACTTTTAAAAATTTACTGGTAGAAAAATATTACAAATACATACAAGACTTCAAATTTCCAATTCTCCATTAGTTAGTTTTCCAAAAACAGCACATATAATATGCATATTCATTTCCATGCATTTCTGGTAGCACCAGTGAAGCCAATCGAATTAGGTAACATTAAGTGAAGTACAGACATCCATTCTTGTTCAATGCAGAAGTTTCAGTGTCTGGTCTACAGAAGAATACCTCTTTGTGCTTTCAGTAAATCTATTTATGGCTCATATGTCATATCAGTTCTCAGACAGTGCATGTTAACTAAATTAGTTATCAATTTCAACAAATAAAAAAAATCTAGAATTTCTGTCTTGATAAGAGTGATTACATAATGTAAGGAAATTACATCCTTCAGCAAAATTTCCAAGTTATTTTTTATGCTTAATACAATAAAATCACTTTGCACTGTGTTTTATTGCTATAAAAACAGATGAGGCAGGTTGTCCTCCCCAGTCTGTGGTGGTGGGCACAGCTCAGCTGTTGCCTTCAGTCTTGTTGCTAGTTTCAGAAGGCTCCAATCTCTGTGCCCCAAGGTCTGTAAGGCTTTGACAGGGTGGAGGAGGGGCTTACTGTGTTGAGGGCCATTGGGGAGACAAGAGGGAAAGCACCAAAAGAGAGGGGGAAGGCTGAAAGCGAGGAGAGAGAGGAGAGGAGTGGTGGGGAAAGCTTGGATGTTGGCACAGAGAGACTGAGGGGCAGTGAGCTGTTGGGAGGCATTCTGAGGGCCTCTGTGGGGGGCATGACACTAAGTCTGGATGTCCCAGATGCCTCAGTGGAGGAGGAGGAAGATGTAGAGGAAGAAGAGGCAGAGGGTGGGCTGCTGTTGCTTCTGGATGCAGGTGTCCTGCCCTGAGGGTGTTGTAGGAGGGGGTGGGGGAGAT